CCCCTTATGATTTTTTTGAAAAATTTTCAAAGGTCGTAACTTTTTTTCTATTATAGATAGAAAGCTGAATCTTTCACTGAATTTTATCCCTTTCAAAGGACTACAATCCCTGAAAATTTTAGCTCATTTGCACTTATGGTTCCTGAGATAAAATCGTGATAAGCAATTGGGGGTGATTTATCAATTTTTCAATTTTTCTGAGTGCCTTTTTTCATAGATTTCGGCTTCAAATCTGAGAATAATTTTGTGTATGGAGTTCAGGGTATCAGGAGGGACCAGTAGGACCCAAAATCTCGACAAAAAAAAAATTGAAATTTCATCATTTTAGTAAGAAGGTACCCCCCTTATGATTTTTTCGGAAAACTTTCAAAGGTTGTAACTTTTTTTCTATTATAGATAGAAAGCTGAATCTTTCACTGAATTTTATCCCTTTCAAAGGACTACAATCCCTGAAAATTTCAGCTCATTTGCACTTATGGTTCCTGAGATAAAATCGTGTTAAACAATTGGGGTGATTTATCAATTTTTCAATTTTTCAATTTTTCTGAGTGCCTTTTTTCATAGATTTCGGCTTCAAATCTGAGAATAATTTTGTGTATGGAGTTCAGGGTATCAGGAGGGACCAGTAGGACCCAAAATCTCGACAAAAAAAAATTGAAATTTCATCATTTTAGTAAGAAGGTACCCCCCTTATGATTTTTTCGGAAAACTTTCAAAGGTTGTAACTTTTTTTCTATTATAGATAGAAAGCTGAATCTTTCACTGAATTTTATCCCTTTCAAAGGACTACAATCCCTGAAAATTTCAGCTCATTTGCACTTATGGTTCCTGAGATAAAATCGTGTTAAACAATTGGGGTGATTTATCAATTTTTCAATTTTTCAATTTTTCTGAGTGCCTTTTTTCATAGATTTCGGCTTCAAATCTGAGAATAATTTTGTGTATGGAGTTCAGGGTATCAGGAGGGACCAGTAGGACCCAAAATCTCGACAAAAAAAAAATTGAAATTTCATCATTTTAGTAAGAAGGTACCCCCCTTATGATTTTTTCGGAAAACTTTCAAAGGTTGTAACTTTTTTTCTATTATAGATAGAAAGCTGAATCTTTCACTGAATTTTATCCCTTTCAAAGGACTACAATCCCTGAAAATTTTAGCTCATTTGCACTTATGGTTCCTGAGATAAAATCGTGATAAGCAATTGGGGGTGATTTATCAATTTTTCAATTTTTCTGAGTGCCTTTTTTCATAGATTTCGGCTTCAAATCTGAGAATAATTTTGTGTATGGAGTTCAGGGTATCAGGAGGGACCAGTAGGACCCAAAATCTCGACAAAAAAAAAATTGAAATTTCATCATTTTAGTAAGAAGGTACCCCCCTTATGATTTTTTCGGAAAACTTTCAAAGGTTGTAACTTTTTTTCTATTATAGATAGAAAGCTGAATCTTTCACTGAATTTTATCCCTTTCAAAGGACTACAATCCCTGAAAATTTCAGCTCATTTGCACTTATGGTTCCTGAGATAAAATCGTGTTAAGCAATTGGGGTGATTTATCAATTTTTCAATTTTTCTGAGTGCCTTTTTTCATAGATTTCGGCTTCAAATCTGAGAATAATTTTGTGTATGGAGTTCAGGGTATCAGGAGGGACCAGTAGGACCCAAAATCTCGACAAAAAAAAAATTGAAATTTCATCATTTTAGTAAGAAGGTACCCCCCTTATGATTTTTTCGGAAAACTTTCAAAGGTTGTAACTTTTTTTCTATTATAGATAGAAAGCTGAATCTTTCACTGAATTTTATCCCTTTCAAAGGACTACAATCCCTGAAAATTTTAGCTCATTTGCACTTATGGTTCCTGAGATAAAATCGTGATAAGCAATTGGGGGTGATTTATCAATTTTTCAATTTTTCTGAGTGCCTTTTTTCATAGATTTCGGCTTCAAATCTGAGAATAATTTTGTGTATGGAGTTCAGGGTATCAGGAGGGACCAGTAGGACCCAAAATCTCGACAAAAAAAAAATTGAAATTTCATCATTTTAGTAAGAAGGTACCCCCCTTATGATTTTTTCGGAAAACTTTCAAAGGTTGTAACTTTTTTTCTATTATAGATAGAAAGCTGAATCTTTCACTGAATTTTATCCCTTTCAAAGGACTACAATCCCTGAAAATTTCAGCTCATTTGCACTTATGGTTCCTGAGATAAAATCGTGTTAAGCAATTGGGGTGATTTATCAATTTTTCAATTTTTCTGAGTGCCTTTTTTCATAGATTTCGGCTTCAAATCTGAGAATAATTTTGTGTATGGAGTTCAGGGTATCAGGAGGGACCAGTAGGACCCAAAATCTCGACAAAAAAAAAATTGAAATTTCATCATTTTAGTAAGAAGGTACCCCCCTTATGATTTTTTCGGAAAACTTTCAAAGGTTGTAACTTTTTTTCTATTATAGATAGAAAGCTGAATCTTTCACTGAATTTTATCCCTTTCAAAGGACTACAATCCCTGAAAATTTTAGCTCATTTGCACTTATGGTTCCTGAGATAAAATCGTGATAAGCAATTGGGGGTGATTTATCAATTTTTCAATTTTTCTGAGTGCCTTTTTTCATAGATTTCGGCTTCAAATCTGAGAATAATTTTGTGTATGGAGTTCAGGGTATCAGGAGGGACCAGTAGGACCCAAAATCTCGACAAAAAAAAAATTGAAATTTCATCATTTTAGTAAGAAGGTACCCCCCTTATGATTTTTTCGGAAAACTTTCAAAGGTTGTAACTTTTTTTCTATTATAGATAGAAAGCTGAATCTTTCACTGAATTTTATCCCTTTCAAAGGACTACAATCCCTGAAAATTTCAGCTCATTTGCACTTATGGTTCCTGAGATAAAATCGTGTTAAGCAATTGGGGTGATTTATCAATTTTTCAATTTTTCTGAGTGCCTTTTTTCATAGATTTCGGCTTCAAATCTGAGAATAATTTTGTGTATGGAGTTCAGGGTATCAGGAGGGACCAGTAGGACCCAAAATCTCGACAAAAAAAAAATTGAAATTTCATCATTTTAGTAAGAAGGTACCCCCCTTATGATTTTTTCGGAAAACTTTCAAAGGTTGTAACTTTTTTTCTATTATAGATAGAAAGCTGAATCTTTCACTGAATTTTATCCCTTTCAAAGGACTACAATCCCTGAAAATTTTAGCTCATTTGCACTTATGGTTCCTGAGATAAAATCGTGATAAGCAATTGGGGGTGATTTATCAATTTTTCAATTTTTCTGAGTGCCTTTTTTCATAGATTTCGACTTCAAATCTGAGAATAATTTTGTGTATGGTGTTCAGGGTATCAGGAGGGACCAGTAGGACCCAAAATCTCGACAAAAAAAAAATTGAAATTTCATCATTTTAGTAAGAAGGTACCCCCCTTATGATTTTTTCGGAAAACTTTCAAAGGTTGTAACTTTTTTTCTATTATAGATAGAAAGCTGAATCTTTCACTGAATTTTATCCCTTTCAAAGGACTACAATCCCTGAAAATTTCAGCTCATTTGCACTTATGGTTCCTGAGATAAAATCGTGATAAGCAATTGGGGGTGATTTATCAATTTTTCAATTTTTCTGAGTGCGTTTTTCCATAGATTTCGGCTTCAAATCTGAGAATAATTTTGTGTATGGAGTTCAGGGTATCACGAGGGACCAGTAGGACCCAAAATCTCGACAAAAAAAAAATTGAAATTTCATCATTTTAGTAAGAAGGTACCCCCCTTATGATTTTTTCGGAAAACTTTCAAAGGTTATAACTTTTTTTCTATTATAGATAGAAAGCTGAATCTTTCACTGAATTTTATCCCTTTCAAAGGACTACAATCCCTGAAAATTTCAGCTCATTTGCACTTATAGTTCCTGAGATAAAATCGTGATAAGCAATTGGGGGTGATTTATCAATTTTTCAATTTTTCTGAGTGCCTTTTTCCATAGATTTTGGCTTCAAATCTGAGAATAATTTTGTGTATGGAGTTCAGGGTATCACGAGGGACCAGTAGGACCCCAAAATCTCGACAAAAAAAAATTTGAAATTTCATCATTTTAGTAAGAAGGTACCCCCCTTATGATTTTTTCAGAAAACTTTCAAAGGTCGTAACTTTTTTTCTATTATAGATAGAAACCTGAATCTTTCACTGAATTTTATCCCTTTCAAAGGACTACAATCCCTGAAAATTTCAGCTCATTTGCACTTATAGTTCCTGAGATACAATCGTGTTAAGCAATTGGGGTGATTTATCAATTTTTCAATTTTTCTGAGTGCCTTTTTTCATAGATTTCGGCTTCAAATCTGAGAATAATTTTGTGTATGGAATTTGGGGGATGTCAATTGACTATTAGGATACAAAATCTCAACAAATGATTATTTAGATTTTGGAAAACTTTGAAAAGACATAACTTTTTTTCTATCATAGATAGAAAGCTGAAACTTTCACTGAATTTCATCCCAATCAAGGGACTACAATCCCTGAAAATTTCAGTTCATTTGGACTTATAATTCCTGAGATAAAATCGTGTTTTGTTCAGGAACTTAGTTTAGAATATAATAATATATCAAGTAAGAATATCTCAAAGATTTCAAAGATCCATGAAGGCACTTTAGCATGTTGAAAAATTCATCTACTATCCTTGTATAGACAACAATCATGTATTCTTCCAATCATAAGATCCATATAATGAAAATGTCGCTATTAAATCGAATCTGCTGGTAATTTGTATGCAAATTTTTTTTTTCGTCCAAACCCCAATTACACGTGCCAACAATAAATCGCACTCGATGTGCATTTATCGGTCTACGAAAAAAAAATGCTGATTGGACTAATTAAAAATCGCCAATATAGACAGCTCCCGCAAAACCACGTTAAACCAACCAAATCCTATATAATACAACTTGATTAGCTTATAGTAGTACTCTATTGAAAATATTTAAAACAAAAAGCTCCTGATCAGTCGGTTATTTAAATTGAACCATGGACGCTGCCGGTCGCTCCAATGATTCGAATCCGATCAAAATCGAATTGAATAATAATTTTAGTGGTGAGGAAATGGTTATGAATAAGAGGAAAATTGAAAAGCAACTTTCCTTGCAAGATTTATTTGGTGGTAGTACCAAGAAGAAAATCGTAAGTACCTAATAATTTTATAAATACTTTAGTTATAATAAACAACAAAGTCTTTTGATGATAATATAAATTGAATATGCGGTAAAGATAACAACCATTAAAAATTTTTTTATAAACAAAATCGATAATATATACATAATCAAAAAATAAGGATGGTTGCTACATCTATAGTGATTCACAAGTTTCTTGCTAATTGATTGTATAAAGATTATCGATGATGGGATTAACACCAATGTCGACCAAATTCAATATATTATAACAAAAGCACCCATTTATAAATAATAAATTCTTAATTGGGGCACGTGCAAAGTACAAAAGTTAGTAGGATTTTTTGATTTTTGAGCTGCTATTATACTGTTACCTACTGTAGTATAACAATTTTCTTTGCATGTCGAACACGCATCGTTAAAAGTTTTCCCAAATAATGTTGTACTGATGGTAATTAGGGAAATTTGTACACTGTTTTTGGCTTTATATATAATTTGTATATAAATTTCTATAATTGCTCGTGCAAAATTAGTTTTTGTGGCTTGTTAAGTTTCTAAGATATGTTGAGGTCGATGTTTTCAAAAACCCTCAACGCTAGGGATTTCAACTAAATACCACTGAATATCTTGTTCCAGTATTGCTTTTGGTTACCAAAATGTTGAGGTTTGAAGATTTGCAATTAAAAATCCAAAAAGGATAGGTACGCTTAGGAAGTAGAGCATCAGAAAATTGAAAATTTTTATTTTTGGATTTTTCTCAATTTTGACTTCAAAAATCGATAGAGCGAGTTCAAATTAGTCAGAAACGACTCTTAGATCAGTTAGATTTGAGAATTATAATGAGAGAAAAAATCCTAAAGGAAATCTCAATTTTTTTTGAAATCTTGACACGCTCATGAATAGATGCCCATATCTTCAATGATATCTGAGCAAATTAACTACAATTATATATCATTGAAAAGAGCATTAAATTCTCTTCAAAACTGTACCATATTGGTTCCAGTACCTTAACGGGTTCATGAGCAATCGAACTTCAAAGTTGAACTTTAGTCAAAATTTTGTTCAAAACTTCAAATTCGATTTTCTCAAAAACTATAAAAGGTAGCGTTTTCAGCTAAATACCATCTGAAAGCCCTCATCAAGACCTACAAACCCTGAAAATGTTGTCTCGGTACCGCTTTTGGTTACCAAGATATCGAGCTTTGAAGATTTGAAAGAAAAAATCCAAAGGGGGTACCCTTATAAAAAGGTGCAAAAAATTGAAAATTTTTATTTTTGAATTTTTCTCAATTCTGACTTTAGAAATCGATAAAGCGAGTTCAAATAAGTCAGAAACGATTCTTAGATCAGTTAAATTTGAGAATTATAATGAGGGAAAAAATCCTAAAGGAAATCTCAATTTTTGTCTCTGGAAATTTTTTGAAATCTTGACACGCTCATGAATAGATGCCCATATCTTCAATGATATCTGAGCAAATTAACTACAATTATATATCATTGAAAAGAGCATTAAATTCTCTTCAAAACTGTACCATATTGGTTCCAGTACCTTAACGGGATCATGAGCAATCGAACTCCAAAGTTGAACTTTAGTCAAAATTTTGTCCAAAACTTCAAAGTCGATTTTCTCAAAAACTATAAAAGGTAGCGATTTCAGCTAAAGATCATCTGAAAGTCCTCATCAAGGGCTACAAACCCTGAAAATATTGTCTCGGTACCATTTTTAGTTACCAACATATCAAGCTTTGAAGATTTGAAAATAAAAATCCAAAGGGGGTACCCTTATAAGAAGGTGCAAAAAATTGAAAATTTTTATTTTTGAATTTTTCTCAATTCTGACTTCAGAAATCGATAAAGCGAGTTCAAATAAGTCAGAAACGATTCTTAGATCAGTTAAATTTGAGAATTATAATGAGGGAAAAAATCCTAAAGGAAATCTCAATTTTTGTCTCTGGAAATTTTTTGAAATCTTGACACACTCATGAATAGATGCCCATATCTTCAATGATATCTGAGCAAATTAACTACAATTATATATCATTGAAAAGAGCATTAAATTCTCTTCAAAACTGTACCATATTGGTTCCAGTACCTTAACGGGATCATGAGCAATCGAACTCCAAAGTTGAACTTTAGTCAAAATTTTGTCCAAAACTTCAAACTCGATTTTCTCAAAAACTATAAAAGGTAGCGATTTCAGCTAAAGATCATCTGAAAGTCCTCATCAAGGGCTACAAACCCTGAAAATATTGTCTCGGTACCATTTTTAGTTACCAACATATCAAGCTTTGAAGATTTGAAAATAAAAATCCAAAGGGAAAAAGTGCAAAAAATTGAAAATTTTTATTTTTGAATTTTTCTCAATTCTGACTTTAGAAATCGATAAAGCGAGTTCAAATAAGTCAGAAACAACTGTAATATCGTTCAGATTTTGAAAATTTGATTCGAAATTTTATTTTTGGCTCTGGACATTTTTTGAAATTTTGACAGGCTGATGAATAATTGCTCAGATTTTCGATGACATTTAAGAAAAATACCTACAATTAGACATCATTGGAAAGAGTATTAAATTCTCTATAATCCGATATAAAATTGGGTTTTGTAGCTTTCGAATTTTCCAAGATATCGGGCTTCAAAGTTTTCGTTTTTGTCCGAAACTTATACTCTTGTAGGATTTTAGTGTTCTCTTCAAGAGCCGGGAATAGAATTTTTACGCACAAATCAGCCAGTACATCATAAACAAGAAAATAATCACTGAAAATCTAGCAACAGTTTTATAGCCATACAGACACAAGCCAATTGAAGAGATTTAAATTAAAACCGCAGATGTCTAATTAGCACAATTTCGGGCCTGATTTTCAATCAATTTGTAGCTTCTTAAAACCAAACACAAAAATTATTATTATTATTTTTTTTTGAAATAGTTCATGTCTCATAGTCAAGAGAATAGTTAAAGAACTGGAGTAAAACACACAGTCTATCTTCACTCTTTATTTTATAAAAATATAATCAGTTAAACGTTCCAGATTGCCAAATTGTCAAAATTCATCAGCATGAATTCTACAAGACACAAAATATGGGAGTTAGGGGGACTTGGGATGTATACATCAAAAATATTACCAAAATTGCAAAGGGGAATATGGTTACAAAGGATAGATGCCTAAGCATGAATAGTTAGTTATACATAAGTAAATGTTCATGCTGTATTCAACATAAAGTTAGTTGCTCATGCCGCATCCAACACAAAACATAAAGTTACAAGAGGCGGTTCTGTGTTTGTGTTTTTATAATAAAATAATATTTACTCTTCTTTTGATCTTTACCCTATTGCTTCCTTTGAATACAGCATGAACACTTACTTATGTATAACTAAACATATCGTATGTGACCATATTCCCCTCTACCATTTGGTAAGTTTTTTGGTGTATACATCATAGGTCCCCCTCATATTTTGTGCCATGTAGAATTCATTCTGATGATGAATCTATGATAGATTCGAAATATGTTCAACCGATTATATTTTTATAAACTAAAGAGTGAAGATAGACTGTGTGTTTTACTCTAGTTCTTATACAAAAATTATTATTATTACATATAAATTAGACTAATTATTAAACCATCAGGTCAATTATTACTTAATTAAAGCCAATCAATTCTCAATATTTCAGCCGGCATTTCGTCGAGGAAGATCGAACTCAGATGGTGCCGCTGCGTCCCTAAACTGCGAAGCTTTCCCAAGTCTGTCAAACGCTGTTTTAGAAAAGCTCGGCTTGCACGGTGATAAGGCTCGCGAACGTCTCAGCGAAGAATCGCTCGAGAAAAAGTTTACCAGTTTAGCTTTGGCTTTTTCAATTGATTCTACCACAATCAAGAGCCGGTGCCTTAGGCAAAAAAGGAGTCGAGATCAAACTGAGACGAATTTCAATTTGGAGATTGAAAGGTTGAAGGATAAGTTGGCTTTGTTGAAGCCGTTGTGTGTTGATGTTGAAACTGCTGATCTTTTATCGACATTATTTGCACAGGTAGATGGAATTGTTTAGGAAAGTATAATATATTAAGAAAACTCATACAGTCTTGTCACGAGTCATTATCCCAATTTTTCTCACTTGAATTTCAGCTTTATGAGGGCACAAAATATTGCTCTACATATGTCAGTTGTAACTCTAGAATGGTTAAACATAGCTCAATTTTAACTATAGGAAAGCCTGAAATAAAATTTCATGTTTCTCCACTTTAAATTAAGCTCTACAATATTGTCACAGCCTGTTTGTGACGGGGGGTGTAGGGTGCATAGATAGAGAGAAACTCGCTCAGTTTTATATAAAAAGGTGTATATTCGCTAAAAAGTAAGAAGTCATTACGTCAAGAATCCTCCAAAATGCATACTATTTCGTGAAAAGGGCCACAAGTTAGACGCTACTTAGAAAGGAATATCGGTTTAATGCTAATGTTACATAGTATGTTGATCCTAGTTTAACTGATCCTGAAAATACCATAATAATGTCAAAATCGAGTTTAAATGACGCACTTTGTGTCGTAACTTTGTTAATTTTGTTCCGATATTGATGTAATTAGGCTTAAATTAAAGCCAATCAAATTTTCTACAAATTTCCTGTGGATGATTTCAATGTAGCTTCAATAGTTTCGCAGCTGCAAAATTGTGTGACTTAAATTTCTATTAAAACGACACACTTTCTGTTATAACTTTGTTAATTTTGATCCGATCTTGATGTAATTAGGCTTAAATTGAAGCCAATCAAATTCTCTACAAATTTCCTGTGGATGATTTCAATGTAGCTTCAATAGTTTCGCAGCTGCAAAATTGAATAACTTAGATTTCTATCAAAATGACACACTTTATGTCGTAACTTTGTTAATTTTTATCCGATCTTGATGGAATTAGGCCTAAATTGAAGCCAATCAAATTCTCTACAAATCTCCTGTGGGTAATTTCAATGTAGCTTCAAAAGTTTCGCAGCTGCAAAATTGTGTGACTTAGATTTCTATTAAAATGACACACTTTGTGTCATAACTTTGTTAATTTAGATCCGATCTTGATGTAATTAGGCTTAAATTAAAACCGAGATTAAAGCCAATCAAATTCTCTACAAACCTCCTGTGGATAATTTCAATGTAGCTTCAATAGTTTCGCAGCTGCAAAATTGTGTGACTTAAATTTCAAGCAAAATGACACACTTTGAGTCATAACTTTGTTAATTTTGTTCCGATATTGATGTTATTAGGCTTAAATTGAAGCCAATCAAATTTTCTACAAATTTCCTCTGGATGATTTTAATGTAGCTTCAATAGTTTCGCAGCTGCAAAATTGTGTGACTTAGATTTCTATTAAAATTTCACACTTTCTGTTATAACTTTGTTAATTTTGATCCGATCTTGATGTAATTAGGCTTAAATTGAAGCCAATCAAATTCTCTACAAATTTCCTCTGGATGATTTCAATGTAGCTTCAATAGTTTCGCAGCTGCAAAATTGTGTGACTTAGATTTGTAGCAAAATGACACATTTTGAGTCATAACTTTGTTAATTTTGTTCCGATATTGATGTTATTAGGCTTAAATTGAAGCCAATCAAATTTTATACAAATTTCCTCTGGATGATTTTAATGTAGCTTCAATAGTTTCGCAGCTGCAAAATTGTGTGACTTAGATTTCTATTAAAATTTCACACTTTCTGTTATAACTTTGTTAATTTTGATCCGATCTTGATGTAATTAGGCTTAAATTGAAGCCAATCAAATTCTCTACAAATTTCCTGTGGATGATTTCAATGTAGCTTCAATAGTTTTGCAGCTGCAAAATTGTATGACTTAAATTTCTATTAAAACGACACACTTTCTGTTATAACTTTGTTAATTTTGATCCGATCTTGATGTAATTAGGCTTAAATTGAAGCCAATCAAATTCTCTACAAATTTCCTGTGGATGATTTCAATGTAGCTTCAATAGTTTTGCAGCTGCAAAATTGTATGACTTAAATTTCTATTAAAACGACACACTTTCTGTTATAACTTTGTTAATTTTGATCCGATCTTGATGTAATTAGGCTTAAATTGAAGCCAATCAAATTCTCTACAAATTTCTTGTGGATGATTTCAATGTAGCTTCAATAGTTTCGCAGCTGCAAAATTGTGTGACTTAGATTTCAAGCAAAATGACACACTTTGAGTCATAACTTTGTTAATTTTGTTCCGATATTGATGTTATTAGGCTTAAATTGAAGCCAATCAAATTTTCTACAAATTTCCTGTGGATGATTTCAATGTAGCTTCAATAGTTTCGCAGCTGCAAAATTGTGTGACTTAGATTTCTATTAAAATTTCACACTTTCTGTTATAACTTTGTTAATTTTGATCCGATCTTGATGTAATTAGGCTTAAATTGAAGCCAATCAAATTCTCTACAAATTTCCTGTGGATGATTTCAATGTAGCTTCAATAGTTTTGCAGCTGCAAAATTGTATGACTTAAATTTCTATTAAAACGACACACTTTCTGTTATAACTTTGTTAATTTTGATCCGATCTTGATGTAATTAGGCTTAAATTGAAGCCAATCAAATTCTCTACAAATTTCCTGCGGATGATTTCAATGTAGCTTCAATAGTTTTGCAGCTGCAAAATTGTATGACTTAAATTTCTATTAAAACGACACACTTTCTGTTATAACTTTGTTAATTTTGATCCGATCTTGATGTAATTAGGCTTAAATTGAAGCCAATCAAATTCTCTACAAATTTCCTGTGGATGATTTCAATGTAGCTTCAATAGTTTCGCAGCTGCAAAATTGTGTGACTTAGATTTGTAGCAAAATGACACATTTTGAGTCATAACTTTGTTAATTTTGTTCCGATATTGATGTTATTAGGCTTAAATTGAAGCCAATCAAATTCTCAACAAATTTCCTGTGGATGATTTTAATGTAGCTTCAATAGTTTCGCAGCTGCAAAATTGTGTGACTTAGATTTGTAGCAAAATGACACATTTTGAGTCATAACTTTGTTAATTTTGTTCCGATATTGATGTAATTAGGCTTAAATTAAAGCCAATCAAATTTTATACAAATTTCCTATGGATGATTTCAATGTAGCTTCAATAGTTTCGCAGCTGCAAAATTGTGTGACTTAGATTTGTAGCAAAATGACACATTTTGAGTCATAACTTTGTTAATTTTGATCCGATCTTGATGTAATTAGGCTTAAATTGAAGCCAATCAAATTCTCTACAAATTTCCTGTGGATGATTTCAATGTAGCTTCAATAGTTTTGCAGCTGCAAAATTGTATGACTTAAATTTCTATTAAAACGACACACTTTCTGTTATAACTTTGTTAATTTTGATCCGATCTTGATGTAATTAGGCTTAAATTGAAGCCAATCAAATTCTCTACAAATTTCTTGTGGATGATTTCAATGTAGCTTCAATAGTTTCGCAGCTGCAAAATTGTGTGACTTAGATTTCAAGCAAAATGACACACTTTGAGTCATAACTTTGTTAATTTTGTTCCGATATTGATGTTATTAGGCTTAAATTGAAGCCAATCAAATTTTCTACAAATTTCCTCTGGATGATTTTAATGTAGCTTCAATAGTTTCGCAGCTGCAAAATTGTGTGACTTAGATTTCAAGCAAAATGACACACTTTGAGTCATAACTTTGTTAATTTTGTTCCGATATTGATGTTATTAGGCTTAAATTGAAGCCAATCAAATTCTCTACAAACTTCCTCTGGATGATTTCAATATAGCTTCAATAGTTTCGCAGCTGCAAAATTGTGTGACTCAAATTTCTATTAAAACGACACACTTTCTGTTATAACTTTGTTAATTTTGATCCGATCTTGATGTAATTAGGCTTAAATTGAAGCCAATCAAATTCTCTACAAACCTCCTCTGGATGATTTCAATGTAGCTTCACTAGTTTCGCAGCTGCAAAATTGTGTAACTTAGATTTCTATCATAATGACACACTTTGTGTCATAACTACATTATGTGTCATAACTTTGTTAATTTTGTTCCGCTCTTGATGTAATTAGGCTTAAATTGAAGCTAATAAAATTCTCTACAAATTTCCTGTGGATGATTTCAATGTAGCTTCAATAGTTTCGCAGCTGCAAAATTGTGTGACTTAGATTTCAAGCAAAATGACACACTTTGAGTCATAACTTTGTTAATTTTGTTCCGATATTGATGTAATTAGGCTTAAATTGAAGCCAATCAAATTCTCTTCAAATTTCTTGTGGATGATTTCAATGTAGCTTCAATAGTTTCGCAGCTGCAAAATTGTGTGACTTAGATTTCTAGCAAAATGACACACTGAGTCATGACTTTGTTAATTTTGTTCCGATATTGATGTAATTAGGCTTAAATTGAAGCCAATCAAATTCTCTACAAATTTCCTGTGGATGATTTCAATTTAGCTTCAATAGTTTTGCAGCTGCAAAGTTGTGTGACTTAGAATTCTATTAAAATTTCACACTTTGTGTCATAACTTTGTTAATTTTGATCCGATCTTAATGTAATTAGGCTTAAATTGAAGCCAATCAAATTCTCTACAAACCCCCTGTGGATGATTTCAATGTAGCTTCAATGGTTTCGCAGCTGCAAATCCTTTTGACTTAGATTTCTATTAAAATGACACATTATGTGTCATAACTTTGTTAATTTTGATCCGATCTTGATGTAGTTAGGCTTAAATTGAAGCCAATCAAATTCTCTACAAACCTCCTGTGGATGATTTCAATGTAGCTTCAATAGTTTCGCAGCTGCAAAATTGTGTGACTTAGTTTCTGTGCCCATTTGCATCAGATGCCTGATTTCTTCTTCATGCTTTTTTTCTTTAGCTTTATACCCAGGTTTTTTCTCTATAAATGTGAATTTAGACCCCTGCATCTTCAAATAGAAAATATATCATCTGTTTAAAACTTGACCATTCTTTTCCTAATCCCCATCCCTATCTTGGAATGACTAATCTTTTGATGGATTAAATCAAGTGACGTTCCCCAAACGATGTATTTTAAGTATCAACAGATCTGAGTTGTGTTCCTCTATTATTTTTAATGGGATCGTTCTGTCTATGAAAATGCCTACACCCCCACCGTGTTTGTTTCTACTAACATAGCATGCATTGTAATCCGATATGTTAACAAATTTTTCTTCTTCAGGTCTTAACCATGTCTCGCTCACAATGAATTTTTACTTTTAAGCTCTTTAAGACTAACTCTATGTTGATCTGGCTGCCAAATTTGTAACGGGTTTTTCCTTAAACTGTGGCAGCTTAACGGGCGGTTGGTACTTATCTTTCGGTTAATCCAGCAGTCGGTCTCAAAAACAATCGGTCACTCGGTAAAACGGGGGACAGATGATGACGTAGTCTCTTCGGTCATAGGCTGATGTTATTGACATACGCAGAACGGTCCCTGCTCGGGCGCCACATCTTTTATTTCTCCTGTTACAGACTGACACTTTCTAATTTCAATATACTTTTTAATGTGAGTTTTCTTGTTGTTGTTAAAAGACTAGATAACGTGAAATTCTAGGTTGATACACTGACAAATGCCGCATCGCTAGTTTCAATAGCTGCAGAAAGATTCGGAGCAGTCCAGCACGAAGAAAGACTAACCGAATCAGTGCAATTGATGGTAGGGCACGTGCAAGCCTTGAAGCAACAACGCGATTCTTCTAGAAGGCAATTGCAATATACCAAGTAAAAACTTTAAGTACACGAGATTCAATAATTGGAAAATTTGTAATTTTATAGAAGAGTTTTGCAAGAGCCTGACGCAAATGCCAAAGACAAAAAACTAATGGGTAAACGTAGGGCTAGCGCCGACGCAGTCAATTTGAGTCAGCAACCTGAGAATTTTAAGCTCAACAGGAGAACATCGGATTTGTCTTTTAGAGCTACTCTAGCCAAAAGCAGGCCTACTAGATTAGAGTAAGAAATTTTGCAAATTGGCCCAAAATTGTTAATTGAGTTTTTTAAATACGCAGCTTAGGCATGGAGTTGAATAAAATAAAAGAAAATACTCTGGATGATGTGGAAAAGTTGGATGAGACTCCTTTGAAGGAGGACTTTGAGCCGGACTTGGATTTTCTAGCTCAAACTCAATGTGATATTTTTAGTCAAATAAGGTTAGAGTTGAAGCCTCAATAATAATTATAATAATAATAATTTGTGTTTCAGGATTGAATTCACAGCCTTAATGCAATATTTCCAAAACTTATTGACAGAATTATTTGAAAAATGGTCTCAAAACGGCTATTTGCACGTTTTTCTCAATTGCTGTGCCATATTGTGTTTTTCCATTAGCGTCCTTACATTGCTGAGCATTTTTCTGGACCGAGAACCTCCCAGCTATTGGTTGTTTAACTGGAAAAATTAATAAAAAACCTTGATTTTACTCAAAAAGAAAATTATTTATTTATTCATCCTACAATAATAAATTAATTAAGCAAATAAATATTGACGATTAAATACAAAAAATTAGTTTAAAAAGAAGTAGATTTCTGGATAATATATTAAATTAAAAAAAAAGTCTAGAGGTTCCAGAACTACCTACTATATTATGCTACTTATCCTAAAGGCAGGTTCACATTTGGTTGTGAATCTACCTGAAAACTTAACAATAGGCAATTTTTGTGAATATATATGATGTGTCAATCTTAACTCCCTCTCCGTCAAATTCTGGGTCTGCGAGTGACGTCACTATTAGCACACATTATTTTGTCTCTACAAGGGTTACTGAACACTTTTGTGATCTTAAGAGGTGTCTGTTCTCACAGAAGAAATTAAGGGTTCTTCATCTTCAAGTATCCCAGAATTTGATGGTGAGAGAGTATGACACAATTGACACAACACCTAATCCAGCTTGCTAGATTATCCTCACGAAAAATTGCCTAATTAATACATATGAACACATGAGAGATGAAATCCAAATTATTGCTGCACCCTACAAAACTACTTAAGTCTAGTACGGATTTAAACGAAAGGCCGCCTTTATAAATTGGGTCCCAAAAATTACTCAAAAAACCTTAGAAACCTTCAACAAAACTAGCGGGAAACAGGCCTGTCTTGCCAGTACGCTGTTGGGTACCCTTGTACCAACCATCTTCTCGTTTTTTGTGCACGTAAATAATATCGTTGATTTGCAGCTCCAATTCATATTCACTATTGGGCGGATATGGTGTAGTGCACCTGAACCTTTCATGCACATTTTGAGTGGTACTTTTCGGGTGTTTAGTAGCATCTAGCGATTGGGATTTGTGGTGCCGGTGCACGTCCGGGCTCGAATTCGAACTGGCAATTTCAGTTGACCTATACACAATAATTTCTTATTATAAAGTAAAATAATGAGTAAAATCTACAAGCAGAAACATGCATCAGCGCCACCTAGAAAGACGAAACACACCTGGAACTGTGAGTTAAAATCGACGGTCGTTCTTTGTGTTTTACTCGGTGAGAGGCCGAACCAAAAAGACGGTGTTCTATTGGTTGGAGCTGTAACAGCTGACTTGGACAGGAACCTGACCTGTATGGGGATTAATAACAAAAATGGACACATAGTTTTGTCTCTACAAGGGTTACTGAACAAATAGAGGTGTTTAATATAAATTAAATTCAAAATTCAATGACATACTAACACAGTGTTAACCCAGTATTAATTCAAATTCCTAGCTGTGTTCACTTGGCCAAACATAAAACCGGTACAGGTAATATCTATTTTCCAAATTTGTCTAGTGTGAATCAGGCTCAACAACAAACAAAATGTGTAGTGCATACTGTTGCGATCCCCTTCGATACCCGCTATATATTTGGCGCCCAACGTGGGGCCTGGGGTTCTCTTCTGAAAAACGTGTGAGACAGTTTTTATCAATATCAAAGCTGAACAAAAGTAAAACTTCATTGGTAAATGCAACATGTTTTTATGTTATGTTTGGTCCAAAGATGACACTAACATGGCTCTTTTTGTCATTTTTAAGGTCGATTTACACCATACAACACAATAGGAAAATGCGTATCAGTTTTATTATTGGCTAAGTGTACTGTGTGAATCTGCACCGATATAAATAGAGGACTATACTACTCTGTCCAATCAACCAACGGAGTGGAACATTATAAATCAGTATTCCAGTGTAAACCTGGCTGCCATTTTCACTTTGTCATACTCCATAGGGTCGTTGGACAAAGGAAAGTTTTCCTACAAGAGCCGGGAATAACAAAATAATGATCATCCTGTATCTTTATACAGTGGTTTATTTTGGTTGTCAAATTACAGTGGGTAAAATTGTTGTCTATTATCGGCTCTCGTGAAAGATTTTCTACCTTAAAAGCCAGAGATAATGGAATATTGATCACCCCGTATTTTTACACAGTAGTCGTTTACTAGCTTTCGTGGAAAATTTCCTACAAGAGCCGGAAATAATAAAATATTGATCACTCTGTATCTTTATACAATGGCTTATTTTGGTTGAGTCAAATTACAGTGGGTAAAATTGTTGTCTATTACCGGCTCTCGTGAAAGATTTTCTACCTTAAGAACCAGAAATAATGAAATATTGATCACAAGGGCCAGAAATAATAAAATATTGATAATCCCGTATGTTTATACCACAGCTTTTTATACAGTGGTAGAATGAGTAGTACACGCCAAAATTTAGATTGGTCTTGGGCGCCTAGGGTTCTAGTCGCAACCTTGCTTAAAACTTTTTTTGAAGATAACAAAAACAAAGTCACAGTCTCATAAATGTTCATAATTATGAGACTGTGACTTGGTTTTTGTTATCTTCAAAAATCTTGCCTATGTGGTCTCTTGGATAAAAATGGATAATGTCTTTTTCCCTGCTTAAAACGACTATTGGCAACGTCGGTAGAAAAAAGTCAATGTGTGGACGAACATACCTATGAATACAAATATCCCAAAGCCCCACCATGCCCTCTCCTGTGTTAAGATGTCATTGATTACACAATAATTATAGTACGTCGATTTTAATCTGATATTCCAGAGGAATGTCAGCTTGTGGCTCTTTGTATAAAAACGTACATAGTCGCCTAACATCACACCTGTTTTTGCCATATGCTGCACCCCCTCGCACTTCATACGGAAAGTGTCAGATTGAAAATGACAGACTGACAGACAATATAAAGATATTTTATCTCATGTTCCAACTTCTTCAAATATATTACCTGACATGTACAGGATGCGCAGGCGCTGCAACAGTAGCATCTTCAAAAACCGGATTGTCCATCGAATATGAAGACCCTGGAGGACTTTTGGGCCGTTTCATGCTGGTCAACCGCTTCATAAGGCCTCCCTTCTCTTTCCTCTCCTTTGACTAAACAAATAAATATTGCAAACAAAAAAAAACATAAACAAATTAAATATTGTGGTAAAACACACAAAATCCCTATGTTGTTATTATATACACTCCTTTTTAATGTTAAATATAAGCGTACGCCTCTGTAAAAGCTCACAATAATATAAAGATGCTGACTAAGCGGTACTGCACTGGAAAAGTACAAGGTTTCGCCTAAGCAATTCAACAGTCAACAATTTTCGCCGCAGCAATTAGAGTTGTAACTTCTTAGTTTCCAATAAAATAAATAATTTTTAAAAACAACGAAAAATATAATTCACACACAAACCTTGTCACACTTGTTAGTAATTGGCGGAGGCGTGCAGGCTCTGGGAGGCAACTCGGGGGGCGCAGCGTCCAAAGAAGGACGTGTGCGCGCACCCTTACTTACAGAGTCCGAAGCCGGTTGGCCGCGAGCTGGAGTGACGTAATTGCCTGGAAACACGCCACATTTTTGCGTACGGTTAGAAGTGCCTTTATACCAACCATCTTGACATCTACAAAAATATCAGTAATTTTAAATTTTCAATGTTGCCTTACAGCTTACATTTCTGACACCCTATAAATGCCGCCCTTTTTCAATTCCAATTCGTCTGGTTTTTGGGGCTTGTAAGGGTAAAGGGCCATAAAGGTTGCAGGCAGTTGCAATTTGCTTGAGGAGGAGGAAGCAGACTGGATTATTTCGGCCGAATGACGATGCACACTGAAACATGCAATTAGTTTGCTTAGCAAACATTTTCTTGACAAATCTTACTTGTTATGATGAGGCACAGTCATATTAGTCAAACTGTGCCGTTTTTCCTTGTTGTGATGATTTCTCGGTGACGGCCTGGCAGGTGGACTAGCGGGCGAAGAAGGCGCAGTACTAGAACTACTAGACGTATTACTAGAAGAAACGTTAGGAGTGGTACTTGAACTACTAGAAGCCGCATTATTAGCTATCTGAGTCACTGAAGTTGTATGATCAGTTGGTATCAGTGGCACGCTGTCTTCAGTTGTGGGAGTTGGCGGTGCCACTTTAGATGGACCTGGTTGGACACTAAAAAAAAACTCCATAGTAACTTGAATTGTGACAGTTCTGTTCTGACATACTTGGTAGATAGTTTCATCAAAGACCGTGCCAGATTGTTCATTTCAACAAAAGCCAAAGGAAAAATTCCAATTCGGCCGTCTAATTTGCCTTCGGCCCAATTTTCGTCCACTCGTCTAATGACATTGATGACGTCACCCTTGCCAAAAGCTAAACAGCCTTCTTCTTCATCGTTGCTCATGCGGAAATCATACAAGGCTTTGCATTGAGGCACGTGACTCGGTACTGGAGTGATAATTTGAACATAGCTCAAAGGGAAAACGCCTTGTTTGCCCGCGCACTCGCCTTGATACCAATGAGCATCAATTTTTCGCTTCAATATGATAATGTCGCCTTTTTTGAAGCATAAATCGCCTGAGTCTTTTGGGGCGTAATCGTATAAGGCTTTGGCGAAAGGCTGAGTGGGCATTACGGCCTGGTGCTTGTTGGCCAACCGGTTGCTCCTTCTCACCTCTTTTTTGGCCTCCTTTTTTAGATATTCTAGTACATCGATGGAGGGGTCGGCCGGGTGCTTCGGGGTCTTTTTCGGGGGTGTTGCAACTGCTGACGCATTTTTCATGCCTTCCAAGATGCGCATGAGGAGGACGTTGGGGGGTAGATCTTCGATTTTCACCGTGACTGCATGGATTAGGGATTTAAATTTAGTATTTAGGGAAAATTGCTAGTTTGTAATATTTATTCCAGGCTCTTAAAGTTTCTTTAGTTGTTTTTTCTCTAACCATTTCCAAATAAACTTACTGGTAACAGTCTATTATCTATTCACAATCTGTAGTCCAAAGGTACAGGTAAAATTTATCATCTTTCAATGCTATTTGATAGGGAAAGGTGATAAATTTACCTGTACCTTTGGACTACAGATTGTGAATAGGATGTCAAGATAAATTCTTCAATCTAGAATTCTATTGGTTAACGGATAACTGACCGTTCCGCAGCAATTTAGTTATGATACTTACTCATTAGTTAGGTGCATTATAACTGAACCTAAGGGCTGGTTTATTCATTCTCAGATAAACTTACTAGTAACAGTACAAGATAAATTAACCAATCTATAATCCTATTGGTTATCTGATAACTGGCCGACCCAATAAGATTATAGATCAGTCACATTATCATTAGAAGCAGAAGGTAGAAGGTGCATTAACTGAACCGAACGGCTTAATCATCTTCACATAAACTTACTGGTAACAGAGTTTATAAGTGAAAAACTGGCCGACCAATAGGATTAACAATGAGTGAATTACTCAGGTACCTCTGCGCAGTCATTAAGGCTCGGTTTATTTACCTTCTGATAAACTGTCGGGTATGCAATCTAAAGGATATAAATGCATTTTGTAATCATGAAATTTACACATTAGTAAAGTGTATCAACTAAACCTAAGGGCTGGTTTATTCATTTTCAGATAAACTGGTACACATAGTGGTAACAATCTACGGAATAATTTACCAATCTATAATCCTATTGGTTAGCGGATAACTGACCAACCAATAGGATTCACAGTAAGTGAATTACTCGCGAACCTCTGCGGGACGAGCGCAGCAAGTTCCGCAGCAATTTAGTTATGATACTTAGTCATTAGTTAGGTGCATTATAGCTGAACCTAAGGGCTGGTTTATTCATTCTCAGATAAACTTACTAGTAACAGTACAAGATAAATTAACCAATCTATAATCCTATTGGTTATTTGATAACTGGATAGGATTATAAATGGCGTTTTTATCTTTCAGATTGCATTATCAGTCACTTTATCATTAGAAGCAGAAGGCAGCAGGTGCATTAACTGAACCTAACGTTCGGTTTATTCATCGTCACATAAACTTACTGGTAACAGAATCTACAAGCGACCAATAGGATTAATAATAATGAGTGAATTACTAAAGAACCTCTGCGGAACTCGCTTCGCTCGTTCCGCAGCCATTAAGGCCCGCGGTATATTCAACTTCTGCTAAACTGTCGGGTATGCAATCTGAAGAGTATAAACGCAATTTGTAATCATGAAATTTACACATAAGTAAGGTGCATTAACGGAACCTAAGGGCTGGTTTATTCATTTTCAGATAAACTGGTACACGATGGTAACAATTTATGAGATAATTTACCAATCTATAATCCTATTGGTTGGCGGATAAATGGCCGTCTAATAGGATTATAGTTTGCCTTTTTATTCCTTAGATTGTGTTACCAGTCACTTTACTATTAGTAGCAGAAGGTGCATTAACTTAACTTAAGAGCCAGGTTATTCATCTTGAAATAAACCTACTGGTAGCAGTCTATAAGATAAATTTACCAATCTATAATCCTATTGGTTAGCGAAAAACTGACCGACCAATAAGATTAACAATAAGTGAATTACTCGCGGACCTCTGCGGGACGAGCGTAGCGAGTTCCGCAGCCATTAAGGCCCGGTTTATTCACCCTCTGATAAACTGTCGGATATGCATTATGAAGGATAAAAACGCAATCTGTAATTCCATTGATTGGCCAGTTGTCCGCCGACCAATAAAATTATAAAATAGTTAATTTATCTTGCAGATAGTTACCAGCAAGTTTATCTGAAGATACATACAATACATTAAGGCCCGGTTTATTCATAGACTTGATGGTAATAATTCTATTAGTAAACGGATAAGTGGTTCACAAATGGGATAACAGATTAGGCACTACATACTGCTACAGGATTGCATATTCTCTTGGATTTTTGGCATCAAGCTCTTATGGTGTTGCACCGTTGCTGACGTCATTAACGATGCCGTTAGCTGTTTGCGCAAGCAAAATTTAAGTTGGGGAATATTATAGACCAAGACGAAGATGCATAACTGGTACTTTTACAAGTTGGGGAGGGGTTTCAAATTTGAACTATACAGGCCTTATGTATGAGAATAGAGTATTCTGTGTAGCTAGGGTGTAATATCCTTGATTTGTACCACCTGATGTGCAGCTAATAATTTATTATGGCGACGTAGGCATAACAAATGTGACGATTGTGAAAGTTTTAATTTGAATGGGAATTGAATGTCAACGTCCCTTTACGGTTGTCAAGATCATTGTGCCCATATTTAATTAACAGAACGTCAAATAGGTACGTTTTCATCTGTCAAATTGCATACCTGACAGTTTATCAAAAGGTAAATAAACAAACCCTAAGAAAATGAAAGGACAAAGCCAATCAAATTTGAGAAAAAAGCTCCAGTGACAAAGGTTTGATTGCGCTGTTGCCAAGTTGTAATTTAATATCAGTGCTATAATGATAATAGGCCAACGACCAGTAAAAACATAAATTCAATATGGCGACAAGGGTGAAACATAATATGTGATGTGTGTTGGGTTGTTTTTTTGTTTATACACTACGGTAAAACTTCAGAAATTACGCAGAGCACAGAAATTAATAAAGAGAAAAATGCGAACGAGATCTAAAAAATGGGGGTTTTAAGCGAAAAACGACATGCTAACTACGTCATCACTGGTACTTTGACATAGTAGAGAGCTTGAGATTTAATCTACTTTAGTTACGAGGATAGGTATAATATCTTTGATTTGAATCAGCTGATAATTCAAGATGGCGACATGGGCATAACAAACTTGACGACCGTGACGGACATTCCAATTGAATTGAATATAGATGTACCTTTACGATTGTCAAGTTTGTTATGCCCACTACCGCCATATTGAGTTGACATGTTTTTATCTGCCAGATTGCATACCTACTTGACAGTTTCTCCAGAAGGTAAATAAACCGACCCTAAGAAAATTAACAACAAGTTTATGTCCAAGAGCCTGGAATAAAAAAAATAATTAATTAAAATTAATGAAACGCGTCAAACGATGACGTACAAAGTATCAGACCAATCAAATTTAAGAAGAGAGCTCCACTGTCAAAGATTGTGTTGTTGCCAAGCTGTAATTGAATATCAGTGCCATAATGATAATAGGCCAACGACCTGTCAAAACATAAATTTAATATGGCGACAAGGGTCAAACATGTGTGATGTGTGTTGGGTTAGTTTTTTGTTTAACAACTATAAAAATCCCGTTCAAACTTCACAAATTACACAGAGAATTTATAATGAGAAATATTATAGACAAAGAGGAAGATGCAAAAGGGTTGTTTCAGGCAAAAAACGACACGCCGACTACGTCATCACTGGTACTTTGACTTGGTGGAAAGCTTGAGATTTGAAGTAAATACCTTAGCTATGAGGATAAGGTAATCTGTGTAGGGTATTATATCTTTGATTCGAACCAGCTGATAATTCAAGATGGCAACGTGGGCATAACAAACTTAACAACCGCGACGGACATTTCAATTTGAATGGGAATTGAATGTAAACAGTTGTCAAGTTCATTATGCCCACCGACGCCATATTGAAATGACAGAACGTCAAATCGAAATCGCCCTATTGTGTTTTTATCTGTCAGATTGCATACCTACCTGACAGTTTATCAGAAGGTAAATAAACTGACCCTAAGAAAATTACTAAGTTTAAAAGGACAATGCCTTATTCAAGAGCCTGGAATAAGAAAATTAATTAATTAAAATTAATGAAAGTGCCAACAACTATTAAAAAATTTTAATACTGACAACACAACTAGTGGCAACCCTGTCAAATTGTCACTTGTGAGGTATAAGGGCATGTTTATGTCTTCTTTTTTTTTTTTGTTTATTTTTTCAAACAAAGATGACTCTGAATTAGAAAAACCTACCCAAAACTCTACATTCCGGACACCGTAGCTCTTTGTGCTTCTGGTAGATCTCCTGCAAACATTTCCGGCAAAACGTGTGCTGGCAGGGCAGTACTTTGCTGCTGGTGTCCAGCCTATCCAGGCAAACTGAACATTCCAGGAGGTCGTTCAATGTACCTTCGTCCATGACTAACTGGAACTTAACTAATAATTATTAAAAATAGCCTACGTTCTAGATTTTCCAGCGTTGCATTTCATCACAACTGGGACATTTTCAGTTATAAATAAAATAATTCATTGGGGAAAAAAATTACCTCTTGATTGGGTGCGGCCTCGTTGGCATAATTTTCGTGCGGCAATGGACTTTGTGGCACTGGCAATTGATTAAAGCACGTTCGTTAACACAAAGAGCAGGTATTTAAAGGGAAAAAAATGCACCTGCGAGGTGAATCTCCTTGAAAAAAGGGACAAATAACGAATGGAATGGCATGTCAGAATAATTATTATTGTCAAGCGCACCAGGGTTTTGGTAAGATTTATATATTGCCAATAGATGGCGCTGGCAACATTCAAGTTTAAAATGATATGGCAACTATACAAAGTTAGTGTCGCTTATTAATAATAGATGGCGCTACATTAGTTTTCTAGTAATTTAAAGCAATATTGCTTGAAAATAAAACAAATTCAGCTTATGTGTACTTAAAATAGCTAGAAAATAATTGTATTCACATGCATTGTAAGCTTTTGTAGCAACACTTTTAAGTTTGGCAACGTTGCGCCCCCACTCCACGCCCCACGCCACTGCCTCCCGCATTCATTCATTATCAACAAACATTTCATTGAGGAAATAGTTTATTTTACAACTTAAATAAATTCATTAATTAATAAAAATGAAGGCAGGTTTTAAAGTTGGCGATTTGGTTTGGTAAATTCTCAATTTCCCCCCTCATAGTATTTTGCAATAATTAATTTCCTTATTGTTTCAGGACCAGAGGCAAAAACCATCCGGTTTGGCCTGCAAGGGTAAGTAGGGGGCCCCCCGTTTAGTTAAGCTTATCAGGCAGTTATTTTGATGATGTAAACTTACCTTTATATTATTTATCAGTCTCCTATTTATAAAGAAAACATTACAATAATTGTAAACATAACCTGTAAAATAAAGAAACTGTTTTGGTTTTTAAGGCTAGGTTTATTCAGCTCAGCTTCAGATAAACTATCTGCAAGATAAATTTTCACCTGACAGGTGAATAAACAGGCCTTAAGTAGATGTTTTTGTTTTTATTTGTTTAGATTGAGCCTCAGCCAGAACACGAGACTAAAAAGGGGCACGTCTATGTGTACTATTTTGGAGCCAAAACTGAAGAATTGTAGTAAGTAGTGTTTTTATTTTTGCGCCCCCCCTTATTGTCCTGCCAATGTATTCCAGTGTATACAGGGTGTCGAATTATAAAGTACCACCACCTGTAACTATTTCATTGTTGATCATACATAAAAAAGTTACAAGTGGTGGTACTTTGGGCCATTCCATCTGTCAAAAAGTAAAATTCAATATGGCGTGGTGGCCAGCAAGTTTATTATTTTGAATATGTGTTTTTATGCATGATTTTAATTATTTTGCTTATTATTCAATAAGATATTTGTTTACTGGGTATGTAAACTAGAAATTCGCGCAGAAACTAGATATTTTCTTGTGTTTTTTGGTCCATGTGTGGCCGCCACGCTATCTTGAAATGTCTTGAATGTCACGTGGTTTGGATTGCCTAATGTATTCTAGTGTACAGGGAGTCAAGTTATAAAGTACCACCATCTGCCAACTGTAACTATTTCATTTTTGATCATACATAAAAAAGTTACAAGTAGTGGTACTTTATAACTTGACACTTGGTACAGGCCCATGTAATCCAATATATACCCTATGTATTCTCATATATTCTTATGTATTTTCATGTACTCTGATGTATTATCTAGCAGTCAAATGTATTTCTATGTATTCAGTGTATAAATTTGCCTGGTAGTTTACTACTAACTAGTAATTTTTTCTTCAATAGTTTTCCAGAAAAACATTAAAATGTAAGATGCAATGTAATGTAGTTTCCCATGTTGTTATTTTTCAGTGGAAAAGTTTCAAATTTTAGTATAATGAGCTGCTATTCTTTCTCTCTCTACTCCAGAAGTTTCAAAATTTTTCCCTTTTCAGTTTTTGAAAAAACCATTAGAATGTGAGATCATGTATTTTACTTATATCTTATTTAGTTTTTCAAAGTTAATTTCCAGAAATTTTTGCTGTGGTTGTTTTACTACTGGATTAATTTGAAATTTTAGTATGATGAGCTTCTAGCCTTTCTCTCTCTACTCCAGAAGTTTCAAAATTTTTCCCTTATCAGTTTTTACGAAAACCATTAGAATGTGAGATCATGTATTTTATATCTTATTTAGTTTTTTAAAGTTAATTTCCAGGAATTTCTCCTGTGGTTGTTTTCTACTGGATTAATTTGAAATTTTAGTATGATGAGCTCCTAACCTTCCTCTTTTCCTCCTAAAAGTTTCATAAGTTTCCTTTCAGTAGTTTCCCAGAAAAATATTGAATTGTAAGAGGGTGCATTTTTGCTTAATTTAGATTTTGCTAGTTAATTTTCATTAATTTCCCATAGTGTCATTTTTCACTGGAAAAGTTTGAAGTTTTAGTATGATGAACTCCTAACCTTCCTCTTTTCCTCCTAAAAGTTTCATAAGTTTCCTTTCAGTAGTTTCCCAGAAAAATATTGAATTGTAAGAGGGTGCATTTTTGCTTAATTTAGATTTTGCTAGTTAATTTTCATTAATTTCCCATACTTAGTGTCATTTTTTACTGGAAAAGTTTGAAGTTTTAGTATGATGAACTCTTAACCTTCCTCTTTTTCTCCTTAAAGTTTTATAAGTTTCCTTCCAGTAGTTTCCCAGAAAAATATTGAAATGTAATAGGGTGCATTTTTGCTTAATTTAGTTGATTTTCATTAAGGCGTTATTTTTCACTGAAAAAGTCTGAAATTTTAGTATGATGAGCTCCTAACTTTCCTCCTTTCCTCCTAAAAGTTTCATAAGTTTCCCTTCAGCAGTTTTCCAGAAAAAAATTAAAATATAAATTTTTTATTAGCGGTTGGGCAGCCAACAGTGCAATAACAAAATACGACAAAGAATCCAAGGCCAAATTGTCCAAAGCCACCATATCCAGGGCCGACTTGAAACAAGGCCTGAAAGAAATTGAAGAGGAGTACAACAAAGTAAATTATTTTATTAATTAAATTTCAAAAACTCTTCTAAATTCAACTTATTTGCACTAGATGACTGGTGCAACTACTGAAGAACAACCAGGTGATTCTACTCATGTCAATTCAGGCTCAGAAAAAGGAGATGAAGACGACTCTACCAGCTCTTCTTCTAAAAGAACTCGCCAGGTATAGAGCTAAATCACATTCAATAAACAAACTTTATATATTGGATTTTCATTTAGCCTAAAAAAAAGTTCAGCATTGAAAGTGGTGAACAATCAACTCCTCCTGCAGTTTTAAAAATAGTAAAAAAACGAAAACTCACTGAAAAACCAGCTGAAAATGGTGGAGCTTCCAGCTCCAAATCCAAAACTTATACTGCAACTTATGTTGAAAACACCATAGGAGACAGCTTCAGTTCACAAGATTTGACTGAAGTTGAAAAGGTAAGTCTTTATTCAATTATTCAATGTATAACATTTCTTAAGTTTACCATTTGGCCTTTTTTTTGCATTTATTTAATGTATAACAACTCTTAAGTTTACCATTAGGCCTCCTTTTAAAAAACTTATTATTTGGTTTCTAGTTAAAACAAGCCCTTGCACTCTATGTTGTATATCAGCAAAACCTAAATTGTCTTTGTCTAAGGCATTTGCTACATTGCATTTGACTGTAAAAGCTTTAGAGTCATTATTTAATTCTATAGTGCATTTATATTCTTCGTGAGATGTTGTAAATAACCAAAAAATGCAATAATTATTAGATTGTGGCACTGCTGCAACCATTAACCAAAAACTATCAAGGGGAGTCTTAAGGCAAAACTTCTGACAGGTTTTTATAACACTACTTACTGAACCAGAACTTGTCAGCAACCTATTAACATCATACACAGTAATTCTTGCCAGGCAATTGTTGCTATTATAACAAATTCCAGAAACAACAAAAGGTAGCACTAAATTCTCATTTCTCTCAACATTATGACACTTGATTTGTGAGTGTTCTGATTTGAAATGAGTCAAATATTGGGTGAGGGCTACGGTTTTGTTGCACTGCAAACACTCAAAAGGTTTTTTGGACAAGTAGCCAAGAGGTTTTTGGGTTTGGTGTTGGAATTGTTGCTTGGATATGCCCAGGTAGGTTTGGAACAGTTTGTCTTCGTCGGTGTCAGACAAAATGCTGGACATTTTTGATTGATGTGTCAGTGGCTTGTGGCTTGTTTCAGATTTCTATCAAAATGACACACTTTGTGCCATAACTTTGTTAATTTTGATCCGATCTTGATGTAATTAGGCTTAAATTGAAGCCAATCAAATTCTCTACAAACCTCCTCCGGATGATTTCAATGTAGCTTCAATAGTTTCGCATCTGCAAAATTGTGTAACTTAGATTTCTATCATAATGACACACTTTGTGTCATAACTTTGTTAATTTTGATCCGATCTTGATGTAATTAGGCTTAAATTGAAGCCAATCAAATTCTCTACAAACCTCCTCTGGATGATTTCAATGTAGCTTCGATAGTTTCGCAGCTGCAACATTGTGTGACTTAGATTTCTATCATAATGACACACTTTGTGTCATAACTTTGTTAATTTTGATCCGATCTTGATGTAATTGGGCTTAAATTGAAGCCAATCAAATTCTCTACAAATTTCCTCTGGATGATTTCAATGTAGCTTCAATAGTTTCGCAGCTGCAAAATTGTGTGACTTAGATTTCTATCAAAATGACACACTTTGTGTCATAACTTTGTTAATTTTGATCCGATCTTGATGTAATTAGGCTTAAATTGAAGCCAATCAAATTCTCTACAAACCTCCTCTGGATGATTTCAATGTAGCTTCAATAGTTTCGCAGCTGCAAAATTTGTGACTTAGATTTCTATCAAAATGACACACTTTGTGTCATAACTTTGTCAATTTTGATCCGATCTTGATGTAATTAGGCTTAAATTGAAGCCAATCAAATTCTCTACAAATTTCTTTTGGATGATTTCAATGTAGCTCCAATAGTTTCGCAGCTGCAAAATTGTGTGACTCAGATTTCTATCAAAATGACACACTTTGTGTCATAACTTTGTCAATTTTGATCCGATCTTGATGTAATTAGGCTTAAATTGAAGCCAATCAAATTCTCTACAAATTTCCTCTGGATAATTTCAATGTAGCTTCAATAGTTTCGCAGCTGCAACATTGTGTGACTTAGATTTCTATCAAAATGACACACTTTGTATCATAACTGTGTTAATTTTGATCTGATCTTGATGTAATTAGGCTTAAATTGAAGCCAATTAAATTCTGTACAAACCTCTTCTGAATAATTTCAATGTAGCTTCAATAGTTTCGCAGCTGCAAAATTTGTGACTTAGATTTCTATCAAAATGACACCCTTTGTGTCATAACTTTGTCAATTTTGATCCGATCTTGATGTAATTAGGCTTAAATTGAAGCCAATCAAATTCTCTACAAATGTCTTTTGGATGATTTCAATGTAGCTCCAATAGTTTCGCAGCTGCAAAATTGTGTGACTCAGATTTCTATCAAAATGACACACTTTGTGTCATAACTTTGTCAATTTTGATCCGATCTTGATGTAATTGGGCTTAAATTGAAGCCAATCAAATTCTCTACAAATTTCCTCTGGATAATTTCAATGTAGCTTCGATAGTTTCGCAGCTGCAAAATTGTGTGACTTAGATTTCTATCAAAATGACACACTTTGTGTCATAACTTTGTCAATTTTGATCCGATCTTGATGTAATTAGGCTTAAATTGAAGCCAATCAAATTCTCTACAAATTTCCTCTGGATAATTTCAATGTAGCTTCAATAGTTTCGCAGCTGCAAAATTGTGTGACTTAGATTTCTATCAAAATGACACACTTTGTGTCATAACTTTGTCAATTTTGATCCGATCTTGATGTAATTAGGCTTAAATTGAAGCCAATCAAATTCTCTACAAATTTCCTCTGGATAATTTCAATGTAGCTTCAATAGTTTCGCAGCTGCAAAATTGTGTGACTTAGATTTCTATCAAAATGACACACTTTGTGTCATAACTTTGTCAATTTCGATCCGATTTTGATGTAATTAGGCTTAAATTGAAGCCAATCAAATTCTCTACAAATTTCCTCTGGATGATTTCAATGTAGCTCCAATAGTTTCGCAGCTGCAAAATTGTGTGACTCAGATTTCTATCAAAATGACACACTTTGTGTCATAACTTTGTCAATTTTGATCCGATCTTGATGTAATTAGGCTTAAATTGAAGCCAATCAAATTCTCTACAAATTTCCTCTGGATAATTTCAATGTAGCTTCAATAGTTTCGCAGCTGCAAAATTGTGTGACTTAGATTTCTATCAAAATGACACACTTTGTGTCATAACTTTGTCAATTTCGATCCGATTTTGATGTAATTAGGCTTAAATTGAAGCCAATCAAATTCTCTACAAATTTCCTCTGGATGATTTCAATGTAGCTCCAATAGTTTCGCAGCTGCAAAATTGTGTGACTCAGATTTCTATCAAAATGACACACTTTGTGTCATAACTTTGTCAATTTTGATCCGATCTTGATGTAATTAGGCTTAAATTGAAGCCAATCAAATTCTCTACAAATTTCCTCTGGATAATTTCAATGTAGCTTCAATAGTTTCGCAGCTGCAAAATTGTGTGATTTAGATTTCTATCAAAATGACACACTTTGTGTCATAACTTTGTCAATTTTGATCCGATCTTGATGTAATTAGGCTTAAATCGAAGCCAATCAAATTCTCTACAAATTTCCTCTGGATGATTTCAATGTAGCTTCAATAGTTTCGCAGCTGCAAAATTGTGTGACTTAGATTTCTATCAAAATGACACACTTTGTGTCATAACTTTGTCAATTTTGATCCGATCTTGATGTAATTAGGCTTAAATTGAAAGCCAATCAAATTCTCTACAAATTTCCTCTGGATGATTTCAATGTAGCTTCAATAGTTTATAGCTGCAAAATTGTGTGACTTAGATTTCTATCAAAATGACACACTTTGTGTTATAATTTTGTCAATTTTGATCCGATCTTGATGTAATTAGGCTTAAATGGAAGCCAATCAAATTCTCTACAAACCTCCTCTGGATAATTTCAATGTAGCTTCAATAGTTTCCCAGCTGCAAAATTGTGTGACTTAGATTTCTATCAAAATGACACATTTTGTGTCATAACTTTGTTAATTTTGATCCGATCTTGATGTAATTAGGCTTAAATTGAAGCCAATCAAATTCTCTACAAATTTCTTTTGGATGATTTCAATGTAGCTCCAATAGTTTCGCAGCTGCAAAATTGTGTGACTTAGATTTCTATCAAAATGACACACTTTGTGTCATAACTTTGTCAATTTTGATCCGATCTTGATGTAATTAGGCTTAAATTGAAGCCAATCAAATTCTCTACAAATTTCCTCTGAATAATTTCAATGTAGCTTCAATAGTTTCGCAGCTGCAAAATTGTGTGACTTAGATTTTTATCAAAATGACACACTTTGTGTCATAACTTTGTCAATTTCGATCCGATTTTGATGTAATTAGGCTTAAATTGAAGCCAATTAAATTCTCTACAAACCTCCTCTGGATAATTTCAATGTAGCTTCAATAGTTTCCCAGCTGCAAAATTGTGTGACTTAGATTTCTATCAAAATGACACATTTTGTGTCATAACTTTGTTAATTTTGATCCGATCTTGATGTAATTAGGCTTAAATTGAAGCCAATCAAATTCTCTACAAATTTCTTTTGGATGATTTCAATGTAGCTCCAATAGTTTCGCAGCTGCAAAATTGTGTGACTTAGATTTCTATCAAAATGACACACTTTGTGTCATAACTTTGTCAATTTTGATCCGATCTTGATGTAATTAGGCTTAAATTGAAGCCAATCAAATTCTCTACAAATTTCCTCTGAATAATTTCAATGTAGCTTCAATAGTTTCGCAGCTGCAAAATTGTGTGACTTAGATTTCTATCAATATGACACATTTTGTGTCATAACTTTATCAATTTTGATCCGATTTTGATGTAATTAGGCTTAAATTGAAGCCAATCAAATTCTCTACAAATTTCTTTTGGATGATTTCAATGTAGCTCCAATAGTTTCGCAGCTGCAAAATTATGTGACTTAGATTTCTATCAAAATGACACACTTTGTGTCATAACTTTACCAATTTTGATCCGATCTTGATGTAATTAGGCTTAAATCGAAGCCAATCAAATTCTCTACAAATTTCCTCTGGATGATTTCAATGTAGCTTCAATAGTTTCGCAGCTGCAAAATTGTGTGACTTACATTTCTAATAAAATGACACACTTTGTGTTGTAACTTTGTCAATTTTGATCCGATCTTGATGTAATTAAGCTTAAATGGAAGCCAATCAAATTCTCTACAAACCTCCTCTGGATAATTTCATTGTAGCTTCAATAGTTTCGCAGCTGCAAAATTGTGTGACTTAGATTTCTATCAAAATGACACACTTTCTGTCATAACTTTGTTAATTTTTGTCCGATCTTGATGTAATTAGGCTTAAATTGAAGCCAATCAAATTCTCTACAAACCTCCTCTGGATAATTTCAATGTAGCTTCAAAAGTTTCGCAGCTGCAAAATTGTGTGACATATTTCTATCAAAATGACACACTTTGTGTCATAACTTTACCAATTTTGATCCGATCTTGATGTAATTAGGCTTAAATCGAAGCCAATCAAATTCTCTACAAATTTCCTCTGGATGATTTCAATGTAGCTTCAATAGTTTCGCAGCTGCAAAATTGTGTGACTTACATTTCTAATAAAATGACACACTTTGTGTTGTAACTTTGTCAATTTTGATCCGATCTTGATGTAATTAAGCTTAAATGGAAGCCAATCAAATTCTCTACAAACCTCCTCTGGATAATTTCATTGTAGCTTCAATAGTTTCGCAGCTGCAAAATTGTGTGACTTAGATTTCTATCAAAATGACACACTTTGTGTCATAACTAGGTTAATTTTTGTCCGATCTTGATGTAATTAGGCTTGAATTGAAGCCAATCAAATTCTCTACAAATTTCCTCTGGATGATTTCAATGTAGCTTCAATAGTTTCGCAGCTGCAAAATTGTGTGACTTAGATTTCTATCAAAATGACACACTTTGTGTCATAACTTTGTCAATTTTGATCCGATCTTGATGTAATTAGGCTTAAATTGAAAGCCAATCAAATTCTCTACAAATTTCCTCTGGATGATTTCAATGTAGCTTCAATAGTTTATAGCTGCAAAATTGTGTGACTTAGATTTCTATCAAAATGACACACTTTGTGTTATAATTTTGTCAATTTTGATCCGATCTTGATGTAATTAGGCTTAAATGGAAGCCAATCAAATTCTCTACAAACCTCCTCTGGATAATTTCAATGTAGCTTCAATAGTTTCCCAGCTGCAAAATTGTGTGACTTAGATTTCTATCAAAATGACACATTTTGTGTCATAACTTTGTTAATTTTGATCCGATCTTGATGTAATTAGGCTTAAATTGAAGCCAATCAAATTCTCTACAAATTTCTTTTGGATGATTTCAATGTAGCTCCAATAGTTTCGCAGCTGCAAAATTGTGTGACTTAGATTTCTATCAAAATGACACACTTTGTGTCATAACTTTGTCAATTTTGATCCGATCTTGATGTAATTAGGCTTAAATTGAAGCCAATCAAATTCTCTACAAATTTCCTCTGAATAATTTCAATGTAGCTTCAATAGTTTCGCAGCTGCAAAATTGTGTGACTTAGATTTTTATCAAAATGACACACTTTGTGTCATAACTTTGTCAATTTCGATCCGATTTTGATGTAATTAGGCTTAAATTGAAGCCAATTAAATTCTCTACAAACCTCCTCTGGATAATTTCAATGTAGCTTCAATAGTTTCCCAGCTGCAAAATTGTGTGACTTAGATTTCTATCAAAATGACACATTTTGTGTCATAACTTTGTTAATTTTGATCCGATCTTGATGTAATTAGGCTTAAATTGAAGCCAATCAAATTCTCTACAAATTTCTTTTGGATGATTTCAATGTAGCTCCAATAGTTTCGCAGCTGCAAAATTGTGTGACTTAGATTTCTATCAAAATGACACACTTTGTGTCATAACTTTGTCAATTTTGATCCGATCTTGATGTAATTAGGCTTAAATTGAAGCCAATCAAATTCTCTACAAATTTCCTCTGAATAATTTCAATGTAGCTTCAATAGTTTCGCAGCTGCAAAATTGTGTGACTTAGATTTCTATCAATATGACACATTTTGTGTCATAACTTTATCAATTTTGATCCGATTTTGATGTAATTAGGCTTAAATTGAAGCCAATCAAATTCTCTACAAATTTCTTTTGGATGATTTCAATGTAGCTCCAATAGTTTCGCAGCTGCAAAATTATGTGACTTAGATTTCTATCAAAATGACACACTTTGTGTCATAACTTTACCAATTTTGATCCGATCTTGATGTAATTAGGCTTAAATCGAAGCCAATCAAATTCTCTACAAATTTCCTCTGGATGATTTCAATGTAGCTTCAATAGTTTCGCAGCTGCAAAATTGTGTGACTTACATTTCTAATAAAATGACACACTTTGTGTTGTAACTTTGTCAATTTTGATCCGATCTTGATGTAATTAAGCTTAAATGGAAGCCAATCAAATTCTCTACAAACCTCCTCTGGATAATTTCATTGTAGCTTCAATAGTTTCGCAGCTGCAAAATTGTGTGACTTAGATTTCTATCAAAATGACACACTTTCTGTCATAACTTTGTTAATTTTTGTCCGATCTTGATGTAATTAGGCTTAAATTGAAGCCAATCAAATTCTCTACAAACCTCCTCTGGATAATTTCAATGTAGCTTCAAAAGTTTCGCAGCTGCAAAATTGTGTGACATATTTCTATCAAAATGACACACTTTGTGTCATAACTTTACCAATTTTGATCCGATCTTGATGTAATTAGGCTTAAATCGAAGCCAATCAAATTCTCTACAAATTTCCTCTGGATGATTTCAATGTAGCTTCAATAGTTTCGCAGCTGCAAAATTGTGTGACTTACATTTCTAATAAAATGACACACTTTGTGTTGTAACTTTGTCAATTTTGATCCGATCTTGATGTAATTAAGCTTAAATGGAAGCCAATCAAATTCTCTACAAACCTCCTCTGGATAATTTCATTGTAGCTTCAATAGTTTCGCAGCTGCAAAATTGTGTGACTTAGATTTCTATCAAAATGACACACTTTGTGTCATAACTAGGTTAATTTTTGTCCGATCTTGATGTAATTAGGCTTGAATTGAAGCCAATCAAATTCTCTACAAATTTCCTCCGGACAATTTGAATGTAGCTTCAATAGTTCCGCAGCTGCAAAATTGTGTGACTTAGATTTCTATCAAAATGACACATTTTGTGTCATAACTTTGTTAATTTTGATCCGATCTTGATGTAATTAGGCTTAAATTGAAGCCTCTACAAACCTGACTCTTTTTTTCCAGGAAATAGGGGGCGCCGACATGCAAGGCTACGACGAAGCCCCAGCCTCAGCCATTGTTGTCGGATTTCTGGGACTGGGAGCCATGGGCATCGGAATCGTCAACAAACTAATCGAAGCCGGTCACAGAGTCAACTTGTGGAACCGCACAGACGAAAAGGTAAGAAATTTAAGACACTATTTTTTAATAACTACGATATTTATTGTACAATCAAGTAAATTCCCTGCGTACAGACCAAATTTCCAACATCTATACGAGGCTTAAAACAATAATAATTACATCACATCAGTCTTCATTAGCCTGTGAGAGGTAAAACACAAAAAATCAAAACTACAAACGATTTATTTTTCAAACACCAAAACTACAATGAAGTTTCGTGGCTCAATTTCCTCTTGTTGTGCGCCGAAAAATTTGGTAAGTTTTGCAAACTCGTACTAGAGGAAATCCTGTCAAAATCGTCCCCTTTTTCCGTCACAATATTGACTAAATCGCCGTTACTCATCACAGGACTGTCAGGAACAATATACGCGTCCTTCGAAGTTGAAGGTAGTACCAAAATTGGCATCTCAGGAGGCTTGTTTTCTATGTAATTTATGTGAATACCTGCCAGGGCCTCTTTGGAACCCATAGACCTTTCAGTTGGAGTATAATACAATGATAGTTTACTTTGGTTTAAATCGTCTAGGCTGCTAAGTTTGTCTATTTTTGATTTAATATAGAAGTCTACACTTTCTAAATCAGCTGGTTCAAATATTAAAGATTCAGCTCGTCCACAGGTACCTGCACGGCAATTCTCAAAATATAAACTAGGCAGATTTTCTAGGACTTTGTTTAAAGTTTGCTGTTGGTACTTGTAAGTCTCGCGTAGTTGTAGGACCTTATGGGCACTGAATTTACGTATTTTGTTACGTTGAAATACATAATTTTCGCGCACCCAGTTTAGCTGCGTTGTGGAATAATCGCGTACTTTGCGCACCTGAAACAACTCACAAAAATTAATTGATTTTTTTGGGTTTGTGATTAACTAAAGCCTTACTTGATCACAATATTGGCCTCGCATGTTGGTCAAATGCTGCGTTCCAATATCACGAAAATCTTTGAGATGTTTGGTTTGCGATTGGTAGCTGCTCTGGATCCAGTCCATTTGCTGGGCACAATTGTCTTTTATTTTGTTTACCTGTTGTGTATAGTTTTCGCGTAGTTTTTCCAGCTGTTGGGATTTGTATTGTTCGATGTTGTCGAGCATTGCGTATATTTGCCGGGCCCTCGGTGAGACTCGGTCACGTTTGCAGAAGCTGCAAAAGTTGTTTAGGATACCGAATCTGGAAAAAAGAAAATAAATGTTTCGCCTTTTGGTTCAATTGACGCACCTGCAGCTTTTCAAAGAAATTATTTTAAAAATAAGAGAACAGTTCTTACCTGTTAAGTATGTAACGTAGAAACTGGACAATTAAGGTGAGTCCTAGGAATCCGGCAGCGCTTTGGGTACCCACAATAAGGCTGACAATTCGGATGTGGTTCCAGTCAGTGGGGTCAATGTGGAGTAAAACATCCTCAGTTAAGTTGGAGATTGGGTTGCTTGCATAGCAATAGTAGCGGCCGCAATCGGCCCGGGTTACGTTGCGCACCCATAAGGTACCGTTGTCTAGAACCTTGAAGGAATTTTTTAATTAAAAACTGAAGTTGTACTTTTGAGTCCCCTTGTAGGCAGTGGCGGCTCGTAATGGTGGGCAAGAAAAATAAGAAAACGTCGCAAGCGAATTTTTTTGTAGGTGAAAAGTACAAAATTTAGGAGTAAATAAACAAAATGCTATTTTACAACGAACATACAGACACTGCTGTAAGAGTGACTGCATAATTTGATTATTATATGCGGCAGACAAGGATGGAAGGAGGTGGCAATCTTGGATCTCCGCCAGCCTGCCCTAATAAATAATGTGTATCGTGTATATGAAACTGTGATTATTTATCCCATTTTGACGTTAAAAATATTTTCTATTTTTTCATTTTTTCTCCAGGGTCTACCTTGCCCATATGGGCGGACCACCACTGCTTGTAGGTATTAATTCAATGAGCTAAAAATTAGATTATTTTTATTTTTGAATTTTTCTCAATTTTGACTTCACCAAGTAAAAGAGCGCATGCTTATTAGTGGAAAATGAGCCTAACATCATTTTCAAATGACATTAGTAAAAAGACAAAAATTCATTTTTTTGATTGGGAATTTTTTTTAACTTCTGACATAGTCATGATTATTTGCCCATATCTTCTATGACTCTTGAGAAAATTGCTTACCATTATACATCATTGGAAAGAGTATCAAATTCTCTATAAAGCTGTGCAAGATTGAGCTTCGTAGCTTTTGAAGTTTCCAAGATAATGGGGTTCAAAGTTGAAACTTACTCTAGATTTTGTCTAAAAATTCGAAGACGATTTTCTCAAAAACTATAAAAGCTAGCGATTTCAACTAAATACTATCTGAAAGCCCTTATCAAGAGTTACAAATCCTGCAAATTTTGTCTTGGTACCATTTATGGTTCCCGAGATATCAAGCTTTGAAGATTTGAAAATAAAAATCGAAAGGGGTACTCCTTGGAAAAAAGTGCAAAAAATTGAAAATTTTTATTTTTGAATTTTTCTCAATTCTGACTTCAGAATTCGATAGAGCGAGTTCAAATTAGTCACAAACGACTCTTAGATCAGTTAGATTTGAGAATTATGATGAGAGAAAAAATCCTAAAGAAAATCTCAATTTTTGTCTCCGGAAATTTTTTGAAATCTTGACATGCTCATGAATAATTGCCCATATCTTCAATAGAATTTGAGCAAATTAGCTAAAATTATATATCATTGGAAAAAGCATTAAATTCTCTTCAAAACTGTGCCATGTTGGTTCCAGTACCTCAACGGGTTCACGAGCAATCGAACTTCAAAGTTGAACTTTAGTCAAAATTTTGTCCAAAACTTCAAAGTCGATTTTCTCAAAAATTATAAAAGCTAGCGCTTTCAGCTAAATACCATCTGAAAGCCCTTATCAAGAGCTACAAACGCTGCAAATTTTGTCTCGGTACCACTTATGGTTCTTGAGATATCAAGCTTTAAAGATTTGAAAATAAAAATTCAAAGGGGTTACCCTAAGAAAAAGGTGCAAAAAATTGAAAAATTTTATTTTTGATTTTTTCTCAATTCTGACTTCAGAAATCGTTATAGCAAGTTCAAATTAGTCAGAAACAACTCTTAGATTTGAGAATTATAATAAGGGAAAAAATCCTAAAGAAAATCTCAATTTTTAGCTCTGGAATTTTTTTGAAATCTTGACGCGTTCATGAATAATTGCCATATCTTGAATAGAATTTCAGCAAATTAACTACAATTATATATCATTGAAAAGAGCATTAAATTCTCTTCAAAACGGTACCATATTGGTTCCAGTACCTCAACGGGTTCATGAGCAATCAAACTCCAAAGTTGAACTTTAGTCAAAATTTTATCTAAAACTTCAAAGTTGATTTTCTCAAAAACTATAAAAGCTAGCGGTTTCAACTAAATACCATCTGAAAGCCCTTATCAAGAGCTACAAACCCTGCAAATTTTGTCTTGGTATCACTTCTGGTTCCCAAGATATCGAGCTTTGATGATTTGAAAATAAAAATCCAAAGGGGTACCCCTTAGGAAAAAGTGCAAAAAATTGAAATTTTTTATTTTTGAATTTTTTTCTATTTTGACTTAAGAAATCGATAGAGCGAGTTCAAATTACTCAGAAACTACTCTTAGATCAGTTAGATTTAAGAGTTATGATGGGGGAAAAAATCTTAAAGAAAATCTCAATTTTTGGCTCTGAAATTTTTTTGAAATCTTGACACCTTCATGAATAATTGCCCATATCTTTAATGAAATTTAAGTAAATTAACTACAATTATATATCATTGGATAGAGCAATAAATTCCCTCCAAAACTGTACTTTATTGGTTCCAGTACCTCAACGGGTTCATGAGCAATAGAACTTCAAAGTTGAACTTTAGTCAAAATTTTGTCCAAAACTTCAAAGTCGATTTTCTCAAAAACTATAAGCCCTAGCGATTTCAACTAAATATCATCTGAAAGCCCTTATCAAGAGCTACAAACCCTGCAAATTTTGTCTTGGTACCACTTTTGGTTCCCAAGATATCGAGCTTTGAAGATTTGAAAATAAAAATCCAAAGGGGTACAAATCAATAGAGCGAGTTCAAATTAGTCAGAAACGACTCTTAGATCAGTTAGATTTGAGAATTATAATAAGGGAAAAAATCCTAAAGGAAATCTCAATTTTTTGAAATCTTGACACGCTCGTGAACATTTGCCCATATCTACAAGAGCAAATTAACTACAATGATATATCATTGGAAAGAGCATTAAATTGTACCATATTGGTTCCAGTACCTCAACTGGTTCACGAGCAATCGAACTCCAAAGTTGAACTTTAGTGAAAATTTTGTCCAAAACTTAACACTCGATTTTCTCAAAAACTATAAACCCTAGCGATTTCAACTAAATATCATCTGAAAGCCCTTATCAAGAGCTACTAATGCTACAAATTTTGTCTCGGTACCGCTTTTGGTTCTCTATAAATCTCCTGTGAAAACCTATCAAGCCCAAAAACCTGTGAACAAAATCATAAAAACAGAAAATTCTTACCTGTATTCTGGGCGGTATAATCCTCAGAGGCGTCATATACCTATCATGGGCGTGCGGATGTTTTTTAAAAACATCCGGAATGGCAGCATCAGGGTTCCAATGGAAAACTTCCCTTTTTGGTGTAATCCATGTAATAGATGGAGGCGGATATGCTGAATATCTACAAAAAAAATTAACTATTCCAAGCCCTATATAAATACTCCTCAATTATTTACCTGCACTCTAATAAGGCATCAGATTTGAGCCTGTAAAGTCTTGTAGGGGTTTTATAAATAATTTGCGGCCTGGTACAGTTTAAATGGTGCAATGTGGGCAACATGTCATTTGGATAAGCGTCAGGCCCACACGTCAGTTCTGACATTGTCACATTACGTCTATTTTCCGCCCAATCAGCAAACCAATACATGCGACAATCACAGGCCCATGGATTATCTGACATGTCTAAATAATTAAGCCTCGATAAATTTGTAATGCTTTTTGGTAGGAAACTTAAGGCGTTGCCACTAATATCTAAGTGTTCTAGCAAATTTGTATCTGCTAAAACATAATTTTCTATTTCCTTTAGTTTTTTGTTGTTTCTTATTGATAGATTCTTTAACATTGGAACTCCTAGTAGCTCAGAATTATGAATTGTTTCAATGTCTGTATTGTCTAGTTTCAAAGTTAATAGGTTTGGGCTAAAATGCATCAGGCCAAAAGTCAAATGAGTAAATTTGTTGCCACTTAAGTCCAATTCTTTTAGGTTTTTTGAGCCTCTAAAAGTACCACTGGCTAAATTTTTCAAGGGATTTTGAGCTAAGCTTAAAAATTCTAGTTTGTTTAAAGAGTCAAATAGCCCTTTTGCAATAGTTTGCAAGGAATTGTAGCTCAAATCTAGCTGTTTTAGCTCAGTTAAATCAGCCAAAGCATTGGAAGTCAGTTTTGTTATGCGGTTGTTGTTTAGCAACAAAGTTTCGATGTATTTGTTGAATTTGAAGAAGTGGTCTAGGAAGGTGGCTAGGTAATTGTGGCTGAGGTCCAAATGGTTCATGTGTTCCATTGCAAATACCTACAACAATGTAATTACTACAATAATACAATAACCTCAACAATAACTTACTTGAAAAGGCAAGGCTTGTAGATTATTGTGACTCAAGCTCAAGGTTTTCAATTTTTGGTTTTTGAAAACATATCGAGGCAAATTTACTATACGGTTGTTGCTTAGATTCATAAAACTCAAGCTTGTATAGTTTGCAAACTGGTAGTTTTCCAATTCTCGTATCAAATTTTGACTCAGATCTATTGTCTTAAGATTTTCGGGATTCACAAGGCAATCTTTTACATTATTCAAGCCACTCTGAGTCCATTGCAAATGCCTCACAAACCTGACATCTACAATTGCTTCACTGCAATTTCTGAGTTCTAAATGAGTTACATCACCAGGCAAGTCAAGTCTGTCTCCTTCTAAGCGATTTGCGCATAAAAGAAACGAAGATTTGACGTAGGTGCAGCCTTGGGGGGCGTTGAAGACTGCGCCGTGACGGGTGTGCGCACCCACTAGGAAAATGAGGCTGGCGAAAAGCCAGGATTCCGCTTGCGTTAGCCGGCCGAGGTGGTCCATGCTGATGTTCGAAATGTCATCGTTTTTTGGAGCGGCGATTTGCGGAAAATTTCGATCTGAAAATGTGTATTGATTTTGAAGCCTTTGTTGTGTAAAAAGTTTTTGGTTCAAGGTTTGAAAGGGAAGCCTTATAAAATTGGTTTTCTTAAAATATCTTCAGGTGCATGTAATTTTAATTTATTAATTATTCTGTTGTTAACTAAAGTGATTTGACATGGCTTTAAACATTTGCTCATAGTTTCCGTAATTTTCAACCAATTGACTTGTATTATAGATATTCTGAAAGAGGATTAAATTTTTTATAAATCCTCTAAATATGAATAAAGTTGCCTGTATAGGTATAAAGAAATTGAGCCTCAAAGTTGGAATTTTGCTTAAATTTCATCCAAAACTTCAAGTTGAAATTGTTGATAAACTGTTCCAAGTATCAATTTGCAATTTGGAGAGAAGTGAAAGGAAGGTTTGAAGCATGTTTTAGTAAATTTTCAAGTTGTTTGAGTGAAAACTTCAAAAAATACAGCCTGAAGTAGTTTGATTATTAAGGGAATTTTTCAATAATCCAAACACAAGGATGTAAATGATGTTTTTTTTCTCATGAACTGTTCCAAGTATCAAATTGCAATTTGGAGAGGAGTGAAAGGAAGGTTTAAAGTATGTTTTAGTAAATTTTCAAGTTGTTTGAGTGAAAACTTTAAAAAATATAGCCTGAAGTAGTTTGATTATTTGGGAAATTTTTCAATAATCTAGACACAAGGATGTAATTGTAAATGATTTTTTTTCTCATGAACTGTTCCAAGTATCAATTTGCAATTTGGAGAGGAGTCAAAGGAAGGTTTGAAGCGTGTTTCCTGCAATACCCGAGTGCCCCGGTATCCATATCATTTCTATTGTCATTCCAGTTTCTCGCAGCTACATTATTAGTTTTTTAGTTTTCAACGTGATTTTGTCAGATTCTCTTTTGATTCCACTTCTAACTTTTTTTTTGTATTGCACTCTTGGAGTCTGCTATTATTAGAGCCTTTTCAGTATCTTCTCTTAAGGACTTGAGGGCCACGTATATATTTGGAGTTTCCGCTGTACCCATGTTGGTATTGTGCATACATTTCTTGTTTTGTTAAAAATTCCAACTTCGCATTCGTCCAAAATGGGTTCGGGAGGCATCTGTGTATATTGTCCCAAGAAATCTGCTGAGAATTTTCTCTTTTTTTTTTGCGAGTTCTGTTCATGTTTTTTCATCCTGGAATCTATGCATTTTATCTTTGTTAATTGCGTTCCATATTTATAGTCAAGACAAGGTGTGTTATATGATTTTTCCAGGGTTTTTATGTTGGATAGTGTATAATATCCACCACCTCCATCATTGATGGACACTGTCTACGCCTCTATTCATTTTAATTTTGTCAAAAAAGGTTATGGCGTGTTTGATGTCAAAAGTATGAACCCTGGTGAAACGATTTGTAGATGTTTGTGCCCTTGAACCATCTTTGTTGTAAAATCCTACAATAGTAATAATTACCTATTTCTAGGAATGCACAATGTTGTTGATTATATCCAATGTAAACAAAACTTAATCAGGTATCTTGTCGGCAAAAAAAATGTATATACAAATTAATATAAACATAAAATGGGTTTTGATATCAGTCAGAAGTAAACAGGCAAAATTGGTGTTTGTGGTTTGTAAAAAATGCCGTATTTTTGGCTCATAAGGCGGTTACACACGGACGTGGATGTCTGAAAACATGTACGCACATACATGAACGCGCAAACAAAAACATCAATGTGTATGTTTTTGAATGTGCAATTTTGTATGCACACTCGGAACACTGTAGCAAGAATAGCAAGACTGCAGTTTTGTGCGAGCGTCTGTACAAAAGCACCATGCACTTTGTTGTTTGCACGTTGATGTATGCACGTATATGTATTAAGACATCCACGTTCGTGTGTAACCGCCCATAGAAAGGTAAATAAAAACGTAGGAATATGACATTATATGTATACAGGGCCTTAATTTCAATTGCCACCCATTATTATGTGAAAAAACATTCGTCTTTGACAAATTTGTTAACGTGCTTCAGCACTAATTTGTCTTTTTACGTAAGTAAGTTTTGAAAAAAACACACCCTGAATATGGTTATAGTTATTTATTTACGCCTGACATATAATGTGAGTATTATACTGGTGATTTTGGCAGTTTAATGCCATATATTATTCCTGCAGGGATTAATGGTCATTATTGCCGCTTGCAGACCAATCACAAAATTTCTCAAATTAAATAAGTACCATGGAACCAATATAAACAAACTCAAATCAAAAGTGACAGTGTCAAACGCGTAGCGCTTGTGTATTTGTATTGAGATAGATGAACAACAAGCGGTTTTGGAATGATTTCAAATAAATTAATTTGTCATAAATAAAGTAGAGTATACTACTCGCAATAATGGCTATTATTCCCTCGGAATGTAACTCCCTCGCCGCTAACGCGGCTCAGTTCGAAAAGATTCCTCGGGAATAATAGCTATCATTATTGACTCGTGGTATAATCTACTATTATCTGTCAAGGGAATTATGACGGTGTTAATACCCCAGGGCAAAGTTTGTGTCCCGAAGGCCTTCAACGCGAGGAACACCAATTGTCCGTGGGTATTACCACCTGATAATTTCCGTGGTACATAAATAATTTTATTTCCCATTGAATTTACTGTATTTTATCTATTTTTATAAAGGAATAAACCATAAACCAAAATGTCTATTTTTTGTCAAAGTTTCAACTATTCAAGGTAAAAGCCTTGGGAGTTATGATATCCTTAACTTCCGCACGGGAGTTATAAAATCCTTAACATCCCTTGGGAGTTAAGACCCTGTTTATGATTATCGTAACCCAGGTATTGTATGGTTATAATAGTTCAGTAGGAAATAAAATAATTATTATTGATAAACTGATTTAATAGAACGCACTCTAGTGCAAACTGGAAAAAAGTTTGATATCGGGTCATATTTTACAATGGTAAAAAGGACATAGATATCAATACTTATTTCCACTGCTGCATATGTAAAGGCAATTCTTTATGAAAAGTTGCAAATTGGGTTGAATCATGTATTATTGAAAAAGGCATTTTGAATCTGTAATTTGTTCCAGCAGCTCATGGACCTGAACTATTGAGCTTGAAAGTTGATTTTAAATCGAAATTCGATTTTTTCGTTTGGTTATATTCGGACCTAAATCATTAAAAAATATGGACATTTTTATTTGAATAAGGCCCAGGTTTATTCATTTGTAAATGAACTTATTGGTAACTGTCTACAAGATAAATTTACCAATTTATAATTGTATTAATGGACCGATTAATTGTATTGTAGACTGTGTTTTTATCCGTCAGATTGCATTGACTCATAGTGAATAAACCGAACCTAAGTAATAAGTAAAACTCTTGATAAAATTTCTCTAATAAAAAAAGTACAAAAGCTTTTAGAATCAATTGAAAATTTCTACATATGAGAAGTCACAAAACCATATACCTACTATAGGATTCTCATTGAAATATAAATCAATGATTAGATATCTGATTGGTTAACTATACTTCTTTTTCAGTTTCGCAGACATTAATATCAATGAGTTATCTCATGTGTTAAAAATTGCAGCATCCATCTCCTCCATTAGATTGACAGTAAGCTGATATTTTTGTGACACTGTCATGTATTTCAATAGCTGTCAGTTATTTGTATGACATAATTAATGAAAAAATAAATGACAAGAGTATCACAAAAATAAGTTACATGAACGTCATTTTCATTATAGCAGTTTTCACCTTTTTTCGATTTTACAGGATGTTATATTTCACCCTGTATCTCTAATGGTATTAAACAAGGTGGCATAATTATTCTGTTTGCGACATTCAAAGTTTCACGAAAAATTGATTCAGGGTTGCGAAAACCACAAAGGTTTATCTCGTCTGGTTACCAAGAAACCCTGTGATTATGAGAAATTGAATAAACAGTGTAGGTAAGAATATAGGCACATAGGCCCATTTTCGTGGAACGCTTTGGAGGTGGTAAAGATTTGTGGAGTTAGTCTTTCCATATTCTGAGTATTTCTTTTTACGAAAAAAATAGCAGGTTGTTTCTTTAGTTATCTTTATTTTTAGCAAATAATCCAACCTTTTTCAAAAGATAGGCAATTAAAATAACACCGGGGTGTTATTGCCACCTTGAGGAAATTTGCTAAGATTACGAGTGATTGTGAACGATTGTGAATGAATGTGATTAATTGTGACTGACTGTGTCATGATTGTGACTGATTTTGTAAGGATAGTAGAATGGTTGTGTAAAGACTATGTATCAGGTCTTCAAAAAAAAAAACAATCAAAGATTGCTATGGTTTTTTAAACGTATGTCTTAGCAATATTTTCCTTCAATTTTGTCAATAAACTTTAATGTCAAAATGTCATGTCAAAAATCCTCACCAATAAAGAAACAATAATACGACATATGTTTTCGTAACATTGGTAAAGACGCTGCCTTTGAAAACAACGATTTCAGGATTTCAACAAATTGTATGTGATTTGTGATGATTTTAAGTGATTTACAAAGATCTCGACAAAAATATTCCTGATTTTGATTGATTTTTCGGATATACTTGATTTGCATCGATTTCAAATGATTTTAGGAGATTTCTTAAGATTTTAATGATTTTAAAAGATTTAAGTAATGTCATTTTGCTTGATTTTACAAATTTCAATGATTTCTATTGATTTATGTGAGTTTGTACAAAGCGTACGCCTGATTTCAGGAGTGTCACACCTAAGTGTCTTATTTGAATAGTTTAACAGTATATTGATGAGTAGATGGCTGGTAGAGGTCCACCCATAAGTTCTGCAATAATTCACTTATTTGTACAGGGTGTTTTTTTATATATTGACACCCCACCCACAGCCTTTACCTTTACAGGTAGAAGTTGTTCAGTTTTAGCTAAATTTTTAGATACCATGGTCAGAAACAAAATGTGAATGTCAAAAATGTGAAATTTTGCATGCTTCCAGCTTTTTTTCAAATGGGATGCCCTATATTTCATTTTATATTCTTGAAGAGCATAATGTCTCGATTCCAAAAATATATAGTTTGTCTATATTTATTGAACAGTCTTTTATATATTCGGTTTCAAAAATTGTAAAAATACTATTCTACTACTGATTTTCTGAACCATTTTACCTGTACAGGTAAAAGCTGCAGGTAAAATTTGAGGTACTTGATTTCTCAACCAAATATAGACAAACTACATAGTTTTGGAATCGGGAAATTGTACTCTTCAAGAATATAGAATCAAATATTGCGCATCCCATTTTAAAAAATCTGAAAACATGCAAAATTTCACATTTCTGACATTCAAATTTTGTTTTTGACCATGGTTTCTACAAATTTAGCCAAAACTGAACAACTTTTGTATTTGCACCTTTCTTCTACCTGTAAAGGTAAAGGTTGTAGGTGGGGTTTCAATATATAAAAAAACACCCTATACATACATACAGTTATATGAAATTCCAGTAAATTTCCGGAAAATTATTTAAAATTTTATTGGAATTCCTGTGAAATTCAGGGCCGTAGCCAGGGGAGGGGCAATGCCCTATCTTTCAAATAATGATGTCCTACCTTTAAAACACAAAATGCGTTGAGGTTTCTCTGGGAAATTTAAGAGTAGATGAAGGCTCTGTTCCAACTGACATGAGAATCGTTCTAGAACAGTAATTCCCAGTCGATCAATTCATTTGTCAAGTACTTTAAACGTTTAGCTTATTGAAAATTAGGTGGGCAATTGAAAATAACTAGTTCTGGAACGGTTCCCATGTCGGTTGGACCACAGCTAATGAATAGACCTGGAATTGAATAAGTTGGTAGATATACAGTTATTTTACAAGTACAAAAGGTCCCTCAGAAATTATTGCCTGAATGCGCCATGTTGTTCTGCCAGAGAAATAATTGCCTTCGGCGCCATTACCCCCACTTTGTTTACCTATAAAAAAATTTTAAGGGGTGGAGGGAAGTAATGCATGCCCTATGTCAAATTTTTCATGCCCTATCACAAATTTGACTCTAGCTACAGCCCTGGTAAAATTACATTGAATTTTAGTGCAATTTCGGAAAAAACCAATATAATCACATTAAGTTTTATTGGAATTCCGAGGAATTCTCTCTTGATAACTGAATATTCAATCAAATTTTGGAAATTCTCCTCGTAATTACATGAAAGAACCCTGCACACTTCTTATGGGATTTCTGACCGCAATCAAATTTAACCAAATTTTAGTATGCTATAGATCTGACCTTTCTGATCAATGAATGACTACCATGGGCACAACTTAATCCTATGACTAGTTTTTGAGATACAGGTAGTTTAATGTCCCAAAAATATACTCATTTTATAAGGCATTTATATCTTATTCACAATCTGTAGTCCAAAGGTACAGGTAAATTTACTACCTTTCCCCATCAAATAGTATTGAAAGGTGATAAATTTTACCTGTACCTTTGGACTATAGATTGTGAATAAATAATACATCTACCATTTACCTGTCATTTGGATGCACAGGTATCCTCACGTTCAGGTGCCAGGTAGATGTAAATGCGTATAAAATGTGTAGATTTCTTGGACAATGAACTGTATCTGTATTTCAAAAACTGGTCATAGGATTAAGATGTGCCCATGGTAGTTATTGGTCAAAAAGGTAAAATCTATAACATACTAAAATTTGGTTAAATTTGCCTGCGGTCACAAATCCCATGAGAAGTGTGCAAGGTTCTTTTAGTAAAATTTCGAGAAATTCGTGTTAAATACATGGAATTTGAGTTAAACTCTGTAATTACAGTGAACTTCCAAAAAGTTTCCATATTATTACATGTAGTTTTATTGGAACAATGAAAATTTCCCAACTAATAACATGAAATTTCAGTAAAATTCCGTAATCTTCCTATGTAATTACATGGCATTTTATTGAAATTTTCAGGAATTTCGGCTGAATTAAATATAATTTTAATGAAACTCTGTAAAATTCTCAGGGAATTTAAGTGGAATTTCAAGCAATTTCCGTCGATTTATAGTTTTTTGCTTCACATTTCCTTTAGTTTCCATCCGATTTCAATGTAATTTCCGTAAAATTTTGAGAAATTTCATGAAATCTTTTGGTAGTGTAATTTAAAAATATTTCATGGAATCTTAAGTGGAATTGTAGAAAATTGGAATTCCTGTGAAATTATAAATGTTATTACAAAAATGGATGTAGTAATTTGAAATTTTATTGGAATTTCGAAAACTTCTCATGAAATTTTTGCGAAATTCCCATTGAATTACATGGATATTTTACAGTAAAATTTCTATACATTTTTGTAAAATTACAATGGAATATCAAGGAATTTCATCTTATAAAGCAATTCTATGCAATTTTATAATGGCATTCTGAAAAGTTCTTGTGGAATTACATCACATAGAATTTCTGCAGAATTTCAATAGAAGTACAATGCATGTACATTTGTCAATCAGTGGAGACTGAGTGTATCCACATTTTCTAAAATCATGTAAAATATAAGAATACATTATTTTTACACTAAATTTACATAGCTATTAGTTGAATTCCATATTGAAATTGGTTTTTAACCTGCTTAGAGCAGAAAACTAGATTAATAAGAATACAGCATTGGAACTAGTATTTATAAGTAAAAGTATGGCTATTTTCAAGGAAATGATTGGTATTAGTGGGAATTACTAGAAGTTACTATAGGGGAATTACTAGGAATTATTAGGTATTGCTAAGGAATTGTTATAGGCGTTGCAGAAAAGAAATGATGTGGAAATTCAAAGTAATTCCCCAATTAGGTAATGTGTATAATATCTCAATATCCTTAAGAGGTATTGTACCAAAATTTTTTGAGATTGTAAGTAGCTCTTTCTAAATGCTTTAATGTGGTACTTGAGAAATATTTGTACCACCAGTGGTTTTTGAGCAATTTCAACTTAAAGTTTTAGATGAAATTTAAGGAAAATTCCAACTCAATTTCTCTAAGCCTGTAAGAGAAACTTTATTCATATTTGGAAGATTTATAGAGAATTTAATCCTCTTTCAGAATATCCATAATACAAGTCAATTGGTTGAAAACTATGGAAACTGTGAGCAAATGTTTAGGACAATGACAAGTTAACAACAATTAAATTCCATCATAATCCAATAAGAATTATTCACATTTTTGTTTCGCTGATAACGATAACAAAAATTGACCTTGTTCTATGGGTATGAACTTTTGAAAAACAAAATAATACATGACAATTACTGTGTTGTCGCTACTACCTACTTGACAAAATTTGTTGGATTTTGCACCCAGCGTAAATAATTAATAATTATTTTCTGTTTATATACTCATTATGAAATCAAAAGAGGAGAAAGTTAATTATTTTTAAAATTACCTAAAAACCCAGAAATATATAATATCAAATAGCAGCCTTTGATGACGTCATTGTCCTCTAGCACATATACACACTTGAAAAAATTTACGAAAATTTCCCTAAGAAAACGAAAAGATGGCTGCACACAAAATTAAAATAAAAACCAGACCACGTCGAACTTTAAAAGCCCACACCGACCAGCTGTGTAAGGTTTGCCTCACACCGCGCTTTTTCGAATGGCCGACCCACCGAGCCACACAACGCGTTCGCGGATCGATTTTCTAGAAAGAGAAAATAGGGAGTGAGGCATGTTGCCATATTCAACACAATTTACTGAAGAACTTTCTTGAATTTTCAGTTAATTATGCAAAGGAGTTGGAGCGTATAATAGTAAATGTTTTGACAGGTATAGAATAAATTTGTTAACAATTACCAGTACCATTTGTTATTTGGTACCACTAGGTTTTCAAAATGAAATAATGTGAAATAATTGTCATTTGTCAAATGTTATTAATTTGACACTAGAGGTCCAATGGATATGTCAAATAATAATAAATAAAAATAGAATTTTAATTTTGGGTTAAATTAAATTTTTCATAGGGAATGGTCTCTACAGACCCCCCAAGTGGAAAAAATATTGATATCCATACAATTTTTACCATTGTAAAACATGGCTCGGTATCAAACTTTTTTCCAGTTTTCTGTAGAGTGTCTTCCATTTGATCAATTATTTTATCAATAATAATAAATTATAACATTAGGTATTAAAATTTTCTACAAACCTCCTGTGGATGATTTCAATGTAGCTTCAATAGTTTCGCAGCTGCAAAATTGTGAAACTTAGATTTCTATTAAAATGACACACTTTATGTCATAACTTTGTTAATTGTGATCCGATCTTGATGTAATTAGGCTTAAATTGCAGCCAATCAAATTCTCTACAAACCCCCTGTGAATAATTTCAATGTAGCTTCAATAGTTTCGCAGCTGCAAAATTGTGTAACTTAGATTTCTATCAAAATGACACATTTCGTGTCATAATTTTGTTAATTTTGATCCGATCTTGATGTAATTAGGCTTAAATTGAAGCCAATCAAATTCTCTACAAACCCCCTATGGATGATTTCAATGTAGCGTCAATAGTTTCGCAGCTGCAAAATTGTGTAACTTAGATTTCTATCAAAATTACACACTTTGTGTCATAATTTTGTTAATTTTGATTCGATCTTGATGTAATTAGGCTTAAATTGAAGCCAATCAAATTCTCTACAAACCCCCTGTGAATAATTTCAATGTAGCTTCAATAGTTTCGCAGCTGCAAAATTGTGTAACTTAGATTTCTATCAAAATTACACACTTTGTGTCATAATTTTGTTAATTTTGATTCGATCTTGATGTAATTAGGCTTAAATTGAAGCCAATCAAATTCTCTACAAACCCCCTGTGAATAATTTCAATGTAGCTTCAATAGTTTCGCAGCTGCAAAATTGTGTAACTTAGATTTCTATCAAAATGACACATTTCGTGTCATAATTTTGTTAATTTTAATCCGATCTTGATGTAATTAGGCTTAAATTGAAGCCAATCAAATTCTCTACAAACCCCCTATGGATGATTTCAATGTAGCGTCAATAGTTTCGCAGCTGCAAAATTGTGTAACTTAGATTTCTATCAAAATTACACATTTCGTGTCATAATTTTGTTAATTTTGATCCGATCTTGATGTAATTAGGCTTAAATTGAAGCCAATCAAATTCTCTACAAACCCCCTATGGATGATTTCAATGTAGCGTCAATAGTTTCGCAGCTGCAAAATTGTGTAACTTAGATTTCTATCAAAATTACACACTTTGTGTCATAACTTTGTTAATTTTGATCCGATCTTGATGTAATTAGGCTTAAATTGAAGCCAATCAAATTCTCTACAAACCCCCTGTGAATAATTTCAATGTAGCTTCAATAGTTTCGCAGCTGCAAAATTGTGTAACTTAGATTTCTATCAAAATGACACATTTCGTGTCATAATTTTGTTAATTTTGATCCGATCTTGATGTAATTAGGCTTAAATTGAAGCCAATCAAATTCTCTACAAACCCCCTATGGATGATTTCAATGTAGCTTCAATAGTTTCGCAGCTGCAAAATTGTGTAACTTAGATTTCTATCAAAATTACACACTTTGTGTCATAACTTTGTTAATTTTGATCCGATCTTGATGTAATTAGGTTTAAATTGAAGCCAATCAAATTCTCTACAAACCCCCTGTGAATAATTTCAATGTAGCTTCAATAGTTTCGCAGCTGCAAAATTGTGTAACTTAGATTTCTATCAAAATGACACATTTCGTGTCATAATTTTGTTAATTTTGATCCGATCTTGATGTAATTAGGCTTAAATTGAAGCCAATCAAATTCTCTACAAACCCCCTATGGATGATTTCAATGTAGCTTCATTAGTTTCGCAGCTGCAAAATTGTGTAACTTAGATTTCTATCAAAATTACACACTTTGTGTCATAACTTTGTCAATTTTGATCCGATCTTGATGTAATTAGGCTTAAATTGAAGCCAATCAAATTCTCTACAAATTTCCTCTGGACAATTTCAATGTAGCTTCAATAGTTTCGCAGCTGCAAAATTGTGTGACTTGGATTTCTAGCAAAATGACACACTTTGTGTCATAACTTTGTTAATTTTGATCCGATCTTGATGTAATTAGGCTCAAATTGCACCCAATCAAATTCTCTACAAACATCCTCTGCATGATTTCAATGTAGCTTCAATAGTTTCGCAGCTGCAAAATTGTGTAACTTAGATTTCTATTAAAATGACACACTTTGTGTCATAACTTTGTTAATTTTGATCCGATCTTGATGTAATTAGGCTTAAATTGAAGCCAATCAAATTCTCTACAAACCCCCTGTGAAAAATTTCAATGTAGCTTCAATAGTTTCGCAGCTGCAAAATTGTGTAACTTAGATTTCTATCAAAATGACACACTTTGTGTCATAACTTTGTTAATTTTGATCCGATCTTGATGTAATTAGGCTTAAATTGCAGCCAATCAAATTCTCTACAAACATTCTCTGGATGATTTCAATGTAGCTTCAATAGTTTCGCAGCTGCAATATTGTGTAACTTAGATTTCTATTAAAATGACACACTTTGTGTCATAACTTTGTTAATTTTGATCCGATCTTGATGTAATTAGGCTTAAATTGAAGCCAATCAAATTCTCTACAAATTTCTTCTGGACAATTTCAATGTAGCTTCAATAGTTTCGCAGCTGCAAAATTGTGTTACCTAAATTTCTATGAAAATGACACACTTTGTGTCATAACTTTGTTAATTTTGATCCGATCTTGATTTAATTAGGCTTAAATTGAAGCCAATCAAATTCTCTACAAATTTCTTCTGGACAATTTCAATGTAGCTTCAATAGTTTCGCAGCTGCAAAATTGTGTTACCTAAATTTCTATGAAAATGACACACTTTGTGTCATAACTTTGTTAATTTTGATCCGATCTTGATGTAATTAGGCTTAAATTGCAGCCAATCAAATTCTCTACAAACATCCTCTGGATGATTTCAATGTAGCTTCAATAGTTTCACAGCTGCAAAATTGTGTAACTTAGATTTCTATTAAAATGACACACTTTGTGTCATAACTTTGTTAATTTTGATCCGATTTTGATGTAATTAGGCTTAAATTGAAGCCAATCAAATTCTCTACAAACATTCTCTGGATGATTTCAATGTAGCTTCAATAGTTTCGCAGCTGCAATATTGTGTAACTTAGATTTCTATTAAAATGACACACTTTGTGTCATAACTTTGTTAATTTTGATCCGATCTTGATGTAATTAGGCTTAAATTGAAGCCAATCAAATTCTCTACAAATTTCTTCTGGACAATTTCAATGTAGCTTCAATAGTTTCGCAGCTGCAAAATTGTGTTACCTAAATTTCTATGAAAATGACACACTTTGTGTCATAACTTTGTTAATTTTGATCCGATCTTGATTTAATTAGGCTTAAATTGAAGCCAATCAAATTCTCTACAAATTTCCTCTGGACAATTTCAATGTAGCTTCAATAGTTTCGCAGCTGCAAAATTGTGTGACTTGGATTTCTAGCAAAATGACACACTTTGTGTCATAACTTTGTTAATTTTGATCCGATCTTGATGTAATTAGGCTCAAATTGCACCCAATCAAATTCTCTACAAACATCCTCTGCATGATTTCAATGTAGCTTCAATAGTTTCGCAGCTGCAAAATTGTGTAACTTAGATTTCTATTAAAATGACACACTTTGTGTCATAACTTTGTTAATTTTGATCCGATCTTGATGTAATTAGGCTTAAATTGAAGCCAATCAAATTCTCTACAAACCCCCTGTGAAAAATTTCAATGTAGCTTCAATAGTTTCGCAGCTGCAAAATTGTGTAACTTAGATTTCTATCAAAATGACACACTTTGTGTCATAACTTTGTTAATTTTGATCCGATCTTGATGTAATTAGGCTTAAATTGCAGCCAATCAAATTCTCTACAAACATTCTCTGGATGATTTCAATGTAGCTTCAATAGTTTCGCAGCTGCAATATTGTGTAACTTAGATTTCTATTAAAATGACACACTTTGTGTCATAACTTTGTTAATTTTGATCCGATCTTGATGTAATTAGGCTTAAATTGAAGCCAATCAAATTCTCTACAAATTTCTTCTGGACAATTTCAATGTAGCTTCAATAGTTTCGCAGCTGCAAAATTGTGTGACTTAAATTTCTATGAAAATGACACACTTTGTGTCATAACTTTGTTAATTTTGATCCGATCTTGATGTAATTAGGCTTAAATTGCAGCCAATCAAATTCTCTACAAACATCCTCTGGATGATTTCAATGTAGCTTCAATAGTTTCACAGCTGCAAAATTGTGTAACTTAGATTTCTATTAAAATGACACACTTTGTGTCATAACTTTGTTAATTTTGATCCGATTTTGATGTAATTAGGCTTAAATTGAAGCCAATCAAATTCTCTACAAACATTCTCTGGATGATTTCAATGTAGCTTCAATAGTTTCGCAGCTGCAATATTGTGTAACTTAGATTTCTATTAAAATGACACACTTTGTGTCATAACTTTGTTAATTTTGATCCGATCTTGATGTAATTAGGCTTAAATTGAAGCCAATCAAATTCTCTACAAATTTCTTCTGGACAATTTCAATGTAGCTTCAATAGTTTCGCAGCTGCAAAATTGTGTTACCTAAATTTCTATGAAAATGACACACTTTGTGTCATAACTTTGTTAATTTTGATCCGATCTTGATTTAATTAGGCTTAAATTGAAGCCAATCAAATTCTCTACAAATTTCTTCTGGACAATTTCAATGTAGCTTCAATAGTTTCGCAGCTGCAAAATTGTGTGACTTAAATTTCTATGAAAATGACACACTTTGTGTCATAACTTTGTTAATTTTGATCCGATCTTGATGTAATTAGGCTTAAATTGCAGCCAATCAAATTCTCTACAAACATCCTCTGGATGATTTCAATGTAGCTTCAATAGTTTCACAGCTGCAAAATTGTGTAACTTAGATTTCTATCAAAATGACACACTTTGTGTCATAACTTTGTTAATTTTGATCCGATCTTGATGTAATTAGGCTTAAATTGGAGCCAATCAAATTCTCTACAAACATTCTCTGGATGATTTCAATGTAGCTTCAATAGTTTCGCAGCTGCAATATTGTGTAACTTAGATTTCTATTAAAATGACACACTTTGTGTCATAACTTTGTTAATTTTGATCCGATCTTGATGTAATTAGGCTTAAATTGAAGCCAATCAAATTCTCTACAAATTTCTTCTGGACAATTTCAATGTAGCTTCAATAGTTTCGCAGCTGCAAAATTGTGTTACCTAAATTTCTATGAAAATGACACACTTTGTGTCATAACTTTGTTAATTTTGATCCGATCTTGATTTAATTAGGCTTAAATTGAAGCCAATCAAATTCTCTACAAATTTCTTCTGGACAATTTCAATGTAGCTTCAATAGTTTCGCAGCTGCAAAATTGTGTGACTTAAATTTCTATGAAAATGACACACTTTGTGTCATAACTTTGTTAATTTTGATCCGATCTTGATGTAATTAGGCTTAAATTGCAGCCAATCAAATTCTCTACAAACATCCTCTGGATGATTTCAATGTAGCTTCAATAGTTTCACAGCTGCAAAATTGTGTAACTTAGATTTCTATTAAAATGACACACTTTGTGTCATAACTTTGTTAATTTTGATCCGATTTTGATGTAATTAGGCTTAAATTGAAGCCAATCAAATTCTCTACAAATTTCTTCTGGACAATTTCAATGTAGCTTCAATAGTTTCGCAGCTGCAAAATTGTGTTACCTAAATTTCTATGAAAATGACACACTTTGTGTCATAACTTTGTTAATTTTGATCCGATCTTGATTTAATTAGGCTTAAATTGAAGCCAATCAAATTCTCTACAAATTTCCTCTGGACAATTTCAATGTAGCTTCAATAGTTTCGCAGCTGCAAAATTGTGTGACTTGGATTTCTAGCAAAATGACACACTTTGTGTCATAACTTTGTTAATTTTGATCCGATCTTGATGTAATTAGGCTCAAATTGCACCCAATCAAATTCTCTACAAACATCCTCTGCATGATTTCAATGTAGCTTCAATAGTTTCGCAGCTGCAAAATTGTGTAACTTAGATTTCTATTAAAATGACACACTTTGTGTCATAACTTTGTTAATTTTGATCCGATCTTGATGTAATTAGGCTTAAATTGAAGCCAATCAAATTCTCTACAAATTTCTTCTGGACAATTTCAATGTAGCTTCAATAGTTTCGCAGCTGCAAAATTGTGTTACCTAAATTTCTATGAAAATGACACACTTTGTGTCATAACTTTGTTAATTTTGATCCGATCTTGATGTAATTAGGCTTAAATTGCAGCCAATCAAATTCTCTACAAACATTCTCTGGATGATTTCAATGTAGCTTCAATAGTTTCGCAGCTGCAATATTGTGTAACTTAGATTTCTATTAAAATGACACACTTTGTGTCATAACTTTGTTAATTTTGATCCGATCTTGATGTAATTAGGCTTAAATTGAAGCCAATCAAATTCTCTACAAATTTCTTCTGGACAATTTCAATGTAGCTTCAATAGTTTCGCAGCTGCAAAATTGTGTGACTTAAATTTCTATGAAAATGACACACTTTGTGTCATAACTTTGTTAATTTTGATCCGATCTTGATGTAATTAGGCTTAAATTGCAGCCAATCAAATTCTCTACAAACATCCTCTGGATGATTTCAATGTAGCTTCAATAGTTTCACAGCTGCAAAATTGTGTAACTTAGATTTCTATTAAAATGACACACTTTGTGTCATAACTTTGTTAATTTTGATCCGATCTTGATGTAATTAGGCTTAAATTGAAGCCAATCAAATTCTCTACAAATTTCGTCTAGACAATTTCAATGTAGCTTCAATAGTTTCGCAGCTGCAAAATTTTGTGAGTCAGATTTCTATGAAAATGACACACTTTGTGTCATAACGTTGTTAATTTTGATCCGATCTTGATGTAATTACGCTTAAATTGAAGCCAATCAAATTCTCTACAAATTTCGTCTAGACAATTTCAATGTAGCTTCAATAGTTTCGCAGCTGCAAAATTTTGTGAGTCAGATTTCTATGAAAATGACACACTTTGTGTCATAACGTTGTTAATTTTGATCCGATCTTGATGTAATTACGCTTAAATTGAAGCCAATCAAATTCTCTACAAATTTCCTCTTGATGATTTCAATGTAGCTTCAATAGTTTCGTAGCTGCAAAATTGCGTGACTTAGATTTCTATCAAAATGACATACTTTGTGTCATAACTTTGTCAATTTTGATCCGATCTTGATGTAATTAGGCTTAAATTGAAGCTAATCAAATTCTCTACAAACATCCTCTGGATGATTTCAATGTAGCTTCAATAGTTTCACAGCTGCAAAATTGTGTAACTTAGATTTCTATTAAAATGACACACTTTGTGTCATAACTTTGTTAATTTTGATCCGATCTTGATGTAATTAGGCTTAAATTGAAGCCAATCAAATTCTCTACAAATTTCGTCTAGACAATTTCAATGTAGCTTCAATAGTTTCGCAGCTGCAAAATTTTGTGAGTCAGATTTCTATGAAAATGACACACTTTGTGTCATAACGTTGTTAATTTTGATCCGATCTTGATATAATTACGCTTAAATTGAAGCCAATCAAATTCTCTACAAATTTCCTCTTGATGATTTCAATGTAGCTTCAATAGTTTCGTAGCTGCAAAATTGCGTGACTTAGATTTCTATCAAAATGACATACTTTGTGTCATAACTTTGTCAATTTTGATCCGATCTTGATGTAATTAGGCTTAAATTGAAGCTAATCAAATTCTCTACAAACCTCCTGTGGATGATTTCAATGTAGCTTCAATAGTTTCGCAGCTGCAAAGTTGTGAAACTTATTCTATTAAAATGACACACTTTGTGTCATAACTTTGTTAATTTTGATGTAATTACTCTAAAATTGAAACCAATCAAATTCTCTACAAACCTCCTAGACTTTGCTCCTATGAAAAATTCCAATATAGCCTCTATAGTTTTGTAGTTTTCATAAGGAATCACCTCTACATACCCCCAAGTGGAAAAAAATATTGATACCTATAGTATTTTTACCATTATAAAACATGGCCTTTTATCAAACTTTTTTCCAATTTTCAGTAGAGTGTCTTCCATTTGATTATTTTTTTTGCAGTGTAACGAAGTCAAACGCAAGGCCGACAAAATCCAAGAAGGCCTCGTAAAAGTATGTCTCGCCCCTTGTGACGTCATGACTGCTTCAGACATTGTTTTCAATTGCGCCTCAGATCCCGAGTCAGCTAAAAACAACGTCACAGACAACTGTGGCGTAATTCACGCAGTTGATTCTTTAGAAAACAAAGGATTTGTGGAAATGACTGGAATTGATCCCACAACTTCAGCAGAAATTGGAGAAATAATCAAAAACAAGGGTGGAAGGTATTTGGAGGCGCAGCTTCAGGGCAGCCGCACCGATGCCCAACAGGGAAATCTATTAATTATGGCGTCAGGTGACAACAGCCTTTTCTTACAATGTCAAAGCTGCTTCAGAGCAATCTCCAAAACAGCCTTGTATCTTGGACCTACAGGTGTTGCTACTAAGATTTATCTCATTATGCAGATGATACAAGGTAAGAATTTTTCATTATTATTTCCGAATCAACATATTTCTGAATTCAATAGGTGTTTCTCTGATTGGATTGGCTGAAGGCCTAGTAATGGCCGACCGTTGTGGTATCTCAGGCAAAGATATCGTCAATATTTTTAACATGACACACATGGCGTCTCCGTTTCTTCTGAGCAAAGCTCAGAAAATTGTAGACAAGGACTTTAAGCAAGTCGAACAGTCTATTAAAAATATGCAAAAGGACATTCGTCTAGCTCTGTCTTTATCTGAGGATCTGATGCAGCCATTGGTCCTAGCATCAGCTGGTAATGAAGTGTTTAAGCACTCGAGAAAGTTGGGTTTCGATGACATGGACTCTTCTTGTATCTACATGAAGGCCAGATACTGATTTAGTGGAGTTTTAGTACTGTAGTGCTGGAGTTTTTAGTGTGGCCCCGGCTTTAATTTTAATTTTTCCTTTTTTGTATAAGGATTTTTAGGCTATATTTAGGATGACGTAGGCGCATTCAAAGTAGTTTCAGTTCAAAATTTCAGATGGCATTGACAACATTGTCTGTTCTTGTTCGATGACGTCATCCTAAATATAACATAAAAAACCTTATAGTAACATTTTATCCATTAAGTACTTTATACACTTTATAGAAATAGTGATTTTGACACTGATTTTAATTGACAGGTCAAGCTTCAGTTTGACAGATTAAGCAGAGTCATATTATGTCTTTTTAATTGTCTAAATAAATAAATAATTTCATGAAAAATAAGTCTTTTATTTATTTCCCATTTTCCCTAAAACAAATAAACAAACAATATTTATTTCCCAATTATGTAGTTTTATTTATTAGTTCAAGGATTTTCAGGTTTAAGGGCCCTTAAATGGAACGGTATATCCTCTTAATGTTTTCAAAATTTTCAAATTTTAATTTTTTCCCCTTAATGAAATTCCATATTTTGCTTCAAAAATTTTTCGTCCGAAATTTTTCGGAGTGTTATATCCCCTTAATTTTTTAAAAATTTTTCGTACGAAATTTTTCGGAGTGGTATATCTCCTTAATTTTTGAAAAATTTCTCGTTCGAAAATTTTCGGAGTGGTATATCCCCTTAATGATTTTCCACATTTTGCTTCGAAAATTTTTCGGTGTGGTATATCCTCTTAATTTTTTAAAAATTTTTCGTTCGAAATTTTTCAGAGTGGTATATCCCCTTAATTTTTTAAAAAATTTTTGTCCGAAATTTTTCGAAGTGATATATCCCCTTAATGAAATCCCATATTTTGCTTCGAAAATTTTTCGGTGTGGTATATCCTCTTAATTTTTTAAAAATTTTTCGTTCGAAATTTTTCGGAGTGGTATATCCCCTTAATTTTTCAAAAATTTTTCGTTCGAAATTTTTCGGAGTGGTATATCCCCTTAATGAAATCCCATATTTTGCTTCAAAAATTTTTCGGTGTGGTATATCCTCTTAATTTTTTAAAAATTTTTCGTTCGAAATTTTTCGGAGTGGTATATCCCCTTAATGAAATCCCATATTTTGCTTCAAAAATTTTTCGGTGTGGTATATCCCCTTAATTTTTTAAAAATTTTTCGTTCGAAATTTTTCGGAGTGGTATATCCCCTCAATTTTTTAAAAATTTTTCTCTCGAAAATGTTCGAAGTGGTATATCCCCTTAATGGAATCCAAATTTTATTTCGAAAAATTTTTGAAGTGGTATATCCTCTTAATATTTCAATTTTTGATAAATAAAACAACTAAATTCAACAAAAATTATTTATTTATAACAAAATTTGAATCGAAAACACTGTCAGTTGCTCAGCTTCTAGTAATGGAATCGCCAATCAGCTTCAAACCTGAAAAACAAAAGAAAAACCAGTTAGTTAATTTAAAAAAAAAACATGTAGAATATTGCGCCATCTATCAAACGAAGCTTCAACTATTTTGAATACACTACTAGCGCCATCTATCAAGTAACACCTAAAGCTGCTCATAAATATTACAGAAATCTGTAATTACTATACATTTGCTTAGGGCGCCATCTGTTAACAAAAGCATGAACTATTTCAAAAATAAACTACTAACGCCATCTATAAAAGATACCTGAAGTTGTTTGTATATTACAGAAATCTGTAAATTATACATTTGCTTATAGCGCCATCTATCAAATAGGGCATGAACTATTTTGAAAAATTTAAAATTTATTTTAAAAAAAATGTATAATTTATTACAGAAATCTGTAATTATTATTTGTGGATACAAATTTCCGGAAAGTATTGTTTTTTTTTTGGACGAGTAGACAAGATGTTTGCGAGTCCAGAAAAACAGTACTTATCAAGGGTAGTACGTAGATATACTTTTGCATTCGGAAAGTATGTTTTTTCCGGACGCTTTTCAATATTTCTTAGACTGGAAAAGACATACTTTGTTTATAAGTGAAAAGCGTTCGGAAAGTATGTGTTTTCCGAATGGATGTTGAGTATAAATGGAAAGAGGATTGTTGCTACTAAAACACTTACACCAATGTTGTTTTTATTAAAAATTCAATTAGAAAAAAGGACTAAAATGAGAGAAAAACTCTCTTGGTCAAAGTACTATATCTCCTGGTACTTCTTGCATCTCCATTAGACAATAAATGATTATAAAATCGCTTGTTTCAGGACGAAATCTCCCCAATATATCGAAAAAGCGAAAGGAAAAACGCCATCGACCATAGTAGTCGAAGAGCGCAAAATTCTCGAAGAAATCGGGGCCCGTCACTCGCGTTTACGCGGTGGTACTTCGGTGGTACTCTTTTCGGCCCGTCAAGGACACTTATTATTTGTCCCATACGGGGTACGACTTTTCAAATAGTGCAATTATTATTAAAGTGTTAAAAAAATCAAAAAAGTGTATAGTTAACATAAATGTGTCAGCTAAAGGAAATTAATATTCGGACATCATCGTCCTGACAGGATGGTCAGGACGTTCGACAGGAATCCATTGTTGAAAGGAAGCAAATCGAGGTGAGTAGTACCATCCATGGTACGACCTTTGACGCGTAGGTACGACCTTGTCCCGCAACCGAAATTCCAGGAAAAAATTTCTCCTAAAACACAATTACTTATACAATACAATAATAATAATTTTGTGCGGTTTGTATTAATTACGACAAAATGTGAAAGTTGTTGGCCATATAGTCGAGGCACGCAGCAACAACGCTTTTTGCCTAGGATTTTATTGTATACATCGAATAATTACTTTTACTCGGTTTTTGGATTTTTCTAGGTTTTTTGATGGTCGTAGGTTGATGCAAGTTTATTCATCTTCAAGATAAACTTGCTGGTAACAATCTGCAAAATGTTATGGGATTACAAATTGCGTCAGATTGCCTATCAGAAGGTTAATAAACCAGGCTTAAATCCTATAAATCATACTTAGACATCGATATGCAAAATACCATTGACTCAAACCCTGTAGAAATGTTTTCACTCAAAAACCAAAGTAAGTGGAAAGTTGAAATTTTGAAGACTTTTTCCCAATGATTCAATGTAAAAAATACCAAAAACTCAAAACGATTGAGTTAGTATTAATAGAGTTACGATTTTTCGATAATAATGATGTTTTGTAAAGTAATACTTTACAAACAATTTTTTCACTCAAAAACTAAAGCGAGTGGAAAGTTGAAATTTTGAGGACTTTTTCCTAATGATTCAATGTAAAAAATACCAAAAACTCAAAGCGATTGAGTTATTATTAATGGAGTTACGATTTTTTGAAAATAACGATGTTTTGTAATGTAAGACTTTACAAACAATATTTTCACTCAAAAACTAAAGTGAGTGGAAAGTTGAAATTTTGAGGACTTTTTCCTTAAGATTCAATGTAGAAAATACCAAAAACTCAAAGCGATTGAGTTATTATTAATGGAGTTACGATATTTTGAAATTAATGATGTTTTGTTAAGTAAGACTTTACAAACAATTTTTTCACTCAAAAACTAAAGTGAGTGGAAAGTTGAAATTTTGAGGACTTTTTTCTGATGATTCAATGTAAAAAATACCAGAAACTCAAAGCGATTGAGTTATTATTAATGGAGTTACGATTTTTTGAAAATAACGATGTTTTGTAATGTAAGACTTTAAAAACAATATTTTCACTCAAAAACTAAAGTGAGTGGAAAGTTGAAATTTTGAGGACTTTTTCCTTAAGATTCAATGTAGAAAATACCAAAAACTTAAAGCGATTGAGTTATTATTAATGGAGTTACGATTTTTTGAAAATATTGATGTTTTGTTAAGTAAGACTTTACAAACAATTTTTTCACTCAAAAACTAAAGTGAGTGGAAAGTTGAAATTTTAAAGACTTTTTCCTAATGATTCAATGTAAAAAATACCAAAAACTCAAAGCCATCGAGTTATTATTAATGGAGTTACGATTTTTTAAAAATAATGATGTTTTGTAAAGTAAGACTTTACAAACAATTTTTTCACTCAAAAACTAAAGTGAGTGGAAAGTTGAAATTTTGAGGACTTTTTCCTAATGATTCAATGTAGAAAATACCAAAAACTTAAAGCGATTGAGTTATTATTAATGGAGTTACGATATTTTGAAATTAATGATGTTTTGTTAAGTAAGACTTTACGAACAATTTTTTCACTCAAAAACTAAAGCGAGTGGAAAGTTGAAATTTTGAGGACTTTTTTCTGATGATTCCATGTAAAAAATACCAGAAACTCAAAGCGATTGAGTTATTATTAATGGAGTTACGATTTTTTGAAAATAACGATGTTTTGTAATGTAAGACTTTAAAAACAATATTTTCACTCAAAAACTAAAGTGAGTGGAAAGTTGAAATTTTGAGGACTTTTTCCTTAAGATTCAATGTAGAAAATACCAAAAACTTAAAGCGATTGAGTTATTATTAATGGAGTTACGATATTTTGAAATTAATGATGTTTTGTTAAGTAAGACTTTACAAACAATTTTTTCACTCAAAAACTAAAGTGAGTGGAAAGTTGAAATTTTGAGGACTTTTTTCTGATGATTCAATGTAAAAAATACCAGAAACTCAAAGCGATTGAGTTATTATTAATGGAGTTACGATTTTTTGAAAATAACGATGTTTTGTAATGTAAGACTTTGAAAACAATATTTTCACTCAAAAACTAAAGTGAGTGGAAAGTTGAAATTTTGAGGACTTTTTCCTTAAGATTCAATGTAGAAAATACCAAAAACTTAAAGCGATTGAGTTATTATTAATGGAGTTACGATATTTTGAAATTAATGATGTTTTGTTAAGTAAGACTTTACAAACAATTTTTTCACTCAAAAACTAAAGTGAGTGGAAAGTTGAAATTTTGAGGACTTTTTTCTGATGATTCAATGTAAAAAATACCAGAAACTCAAAGCGATTGAGTTATTATTAATGGAGTTACGATTTTTTGAAAATAACGATGTTTTGTAATGTAAGACTTTACAAACAATATTTTTACTCAAAAACTAAAGTGAGTGGATAGTTGAAATTTTGAGGACTTTTTCCTTAAGATTCAATGTAGAAAATATCAAAAACTCAAAGCCATTGAGGTATTATTAATGGAGTTACGATATTTTGAAAATAATGATGTTTTGTAAAGTAAGACTTTACAAACAATTTTTTCACTCAAAAAGTATAATGAGTGGAAAGTTGAAATTTCAAGGACTTTTTCCTAAAGGTTCAATATAGAAAATACCAAAAACTCAAAGCGATTGAGTTATTATTAATAGAGTTACGATTTTTTGAAAATAATGATGTTTTGTAAAGTAATACTCTACAAACAATTTTTTCACTCAAAAACTAAAGTGAGTGGAAAGTTGAAATTTTGAGGACTTTTTCCTAATGATTCAATGTAAAAAATACCAAAAACTCAAAGCGATTGAGTTATTATTAATGGAGTTACGATTTTTTGAAAATAATGATGTTTTGTTGTAATGTAAGACTTTATTGGATTTATTTTTAATTAAAAAAAAAAATGGTACGCCCATGTTCGTTTGCGTGTTTCCGTCAAAAATTGGCAGCCAACTTCACACCGGTTAAAAAAAATTCAAGATGGCAACGTGGCCACAACAATTGCTAAATAAATGTATTATGAAAACAATAGCAACAAATCACGTAGCGCCATCTATGAACGCCCCACCAAACTACAATGGAAAATAGGCAACAAATTGTGGCGCCGTCTATGAACAACCTAGCGAACTACGACCCCAAAAATTTGAAAAGGGGTTCATTATAGCACCAATTAGCAGACAACTTAAATAACTAAATTTTCTTTTTAATCAATTTTCTAAACAAACTAAAATACAGATTCCTCTCTTTCCACATTACTCGGAATACAGATTCCTCTTTCCATTACCTGGACGATTCCATTTAAAGGGAAAGACGCTTGCTGTCAGCAAAGTCAGCAAGTGTCAAAGTCAGCAACACTGACTACTACAGTCAGTGAAATCTCTAATCTTGCCCGTGTTGCTCCTCTTGTCTCGGATTATTTTGATTTTTTCAAAATATGTCATCGCGGTTCCCTTAATATATAGGAGGAACGATAGGTAAAATATAAAAATTTCGTACGGGGTTTCGGAACAATTAATAATTTCTATCCTGCCTCTATGGAGTACATTTCCGAAGAATTAAATGAAGAAACCACCTCGGTAAGATACAACAGATGACCTCTCTCACTCACTCACTCACTCCAGAATTAATTCGCAATTATTTATTGGGTATGAGCATTTTTTTTTTTTTTTTCTTCTTTTGTCGCATATTGTCCTAATTTCAGGTCACTGTCTCAGAAATTCTGATCTAGAACAATCTCACTCTGAGTTGGATATGTAAAGTTGCTTATAGCAGAGATCTTTTTGTTCTCTGATATATGTCTCTGCTCTATTTGATCTTAAAACATGTTTTCATCTTGCTCTGTTCTATATAGTTGTTCCTATTTTGATCAGATTTTCCAATTCAACTGGCACTAGATCAGGCAAGATAAGAGGCCATCCATTAAACAATTATTTTGCGTCAATGTCCCTTTATTTTGAGGATAAACACCCTAATGCGACCCCAAAATTATGTCTATTTTTAGGGCATAATTAATCTTGTTTCCTTGCACCTTGGGACAATTCCGCTGATGTTGCAACGTCGCTTTACATGTTAAAAAATCTATGACGCTCTTCTCTCGAATACGTCACACGACGAGGGGGAAACAATTTTCGGGTAAAAGAGGACGAGCGTCTTTGTCGCACGCTTTAATAGGTCACGTGTTGTTGTCAGATCTAAAATTATTATATAAAAAAGGACGACAATAGAAAATTCTGCGAAAAAAATAAAAAAAATTGTTATTGTTTATTTAATATCGATATCAGTTGTTTATTGCATGGGGATATTAATGGAGTAACCTTGATGATGAATTTTAAAAAAGATGTGTAAACATCTCATTAGTAGCATACCAATGACGTCATAAGAGTGACTACACAACTTCTTTTATATTAAACAGCCTTGATCGATGACGTAAAAATCTAACGCTATCCATCTCGTTATAAAAAATATTATGCATTCTCCTTTATTAAACAGCCTTGATCATTGACATATGAAATTCTAATTAGGCTGACCTGTCAAACGAAATTCAATATGGCCGTTCAAGTCAAACTTCGTGCTGTTTACATTTACAATGAAAAATTCTTAATTTTGTCATATTCTAGACGTTTAAGTTTGACATTGACATTGTCCTTGTCTATTGCTTGTAGACAAACAAGGATAAAATTAGGGTTGATATTCAACTTGACGTTGACGTAGGTTGATCGGTTTTTAATTAATAAATACAACGCACGTCACATGGTCTTCCTCTTTCTTTTTTTATCCCGTAAAAATAAGAAGGACAGATTGTTATACATAATTTATTCTGCAGAGAAATTGATGAATTTGTTGTGTTTATTTTGAAAGATGTGTAGCATACTAATGACGTCATACAAATTACTACTACGCAACCTCCTCTATCATCA